ACCGCAAAAACACGTTTTCACGCCAAAACCATAAAAACGTATTTTTCCGCCAAAACTGCAAAAACGTGTTTTCTCGCCAAAATCGTAAAAACGCGTTTTCCCGCCAAAATACATAAAACACGTTTTCCCGCCAAAACTATAAAACGCATTTTCTATCAAAACCGTTAAAATGCATTTTCCCGCCAAAACCGCAAAAACGTGTTTTCCCGTCAAAACTACAAAAACGCGTTTTCTCGCCAAAACCGTAAAAATGCGTTTTCCCGCCAAAACTGCAAAACGCGTTTTCTCGGCAAAACGGTAAAAACGCGTTTTCCCGCCAAAATTGCAAAAAATGTTTTCCCGCTAAAACTGTAAAAACACATTTTCATGTCAAAATCGTAAACATTAATTTTTCCGGCAAAACTGGAAAAACTCATTTTCATCAAAATCGTAAAATTGCATTTTCCCGCTAAAAATGTAAACACAAATTTCTTTTATTCATTTTATTAACAAATCCATCTGGATGCAGATGCAAGTTAAAAAAACAAACGAACATAGTTACATTTAGATGATTCATCTAGATAGATAGACAAAATAGAGAAACGAACAACATCCAGATGGAGCATCTGGATAAGACATCTAGATGGACCATCTGGATGCATCTTTCAGATGTACAAACGAACAGGGCCTAAGTCAAAACGTCACATTTACAACAATGACGACGAGTTGGCTGATTTGTAAAATGGAAGGAACGAGCAGTTTCTTATGCGGGTGACACTTGGGTTAGGTGGTACTATCTTCACTTTCATTGACCCACATTAATGTGCTTCACATCTATCCTTCTATCTCTACCTACTAGCGTCTCTTTATATATGTGTGTGTGTGATAATATTCCATTACATGCATTGATAGATTAGCCACACATAACAAAAGAAAATAATAGAAAAGCTAAAATTAACACTGACGGGTAAATAATAAGATTATTCATAACTTCGCTATCCTCGTCTTATGAAAACCCAACAAGGAACAGCTTCTTCCTTGTTGTATAAGTTAACATATAAATGCACATTCGAAAACCCGTTTCACCCCTATTCTATATGTAGCAGAGGGAGATCCAAGAGTTTGCATTGCAGCTTCAGAGAATTGTACAACATACATTTGTTTTCCTTGCTTTCTTGTAAAACATCTGCTTCCATCATCCCAAAACAACACCATAAAAACCAATTTTCTCATGTCAGAATTCACTAAAGAAAACACTAGTAAGGTAAGTACACTAGGTGTGGAAGCTTACCTTTGATGCCTTGTTCAAATCTGAACTCTTCTCCACTAATGTGTCCAGCTTTTCACCTCGGGCTAGGACACTATCAATGGTTTTATGCTGTTACACAACAAAAAGAACAAAAGCTCTGCTCACTGACAAGTGATTAAGAAATATTGGAAACAAGGGACCATGTAGTACGTATGGTTCAATGAATAAAAAAAGTACAAAGCAGACAATGGAATGGTCTAATATATAATCAGGAACAGGGAGACTGCACTTACAATGATAATACTGGTCTCATCCAGCTCCATCTGAATTTTCGACAGCTTATCAGCTTCCGCCAGGTCCTGAAGATGCACAAAAGGATTTAATAAGTCTTTGTAATTACACAATCAATATAGACAATTGACTAAACATCTCACATCAAATAGTTCCTAAAGTTTTCATAGACTCAAACAAAAAGGCTAAAAAAATGTCAGTAGTAGAGAGTACCTGAAATTTGTCTAAAGCTTCTACTAAGTACGGCCACTTCTGCTTAGAGACTTCTTTAGCAGACCTCCATGTCTCACCAAAAATCTTCTGGTACTCATCAAGAACCTGCCCAAAAAAGAATGTCAACAAAAAACTAAATACATTCTTTTCAGACAAGAAGCTAACTTGTGTAAATAGGATTATTTTCAAAGTACCTGGTTGAGAAGAGAAAAGGCACATCGAACAGGATAACGATCATCCATGAGTCCCACGGCGCAGAGACCGTCTCTATTGTAAGCATGCACCATATAATCTATATATCTCAAACACAGCAAGTTCAATTACAAAACTAAAAAAAAAAAAGTAAGACAGAGATCCTAGAGACAAAGAATAAGAACAAGAACCTTCGTGTTTAACAGATTGTCGCTGAGAAGGAAGGGTTCGGCTGGCCACAGTACTACTGTAGAATCGAACGAACTCGGTGATGTTAGGGTGGTAGAAATAGTTGAATCCAGAGAAGTCGAATGCGTGAGCGAGGATAACAGGGTTTGGAGTCTCAGGAGTGCACTTAAGAACAAGCAAAGCCGTGATACTCATAATTAACCCTGGTTGATCACTGAAACAATATGAGCTAGAGAATCAAAGAGAGACAGATACTAGGTCAGAGTTGGCAAGAGAGATTTTGTCACAACACAAAACATAAATAGAAACTATAATGAAAACAAAACCTTTTAATCAAGAGAGAGAGAGAGAGAGAGCGTCTGAGCAGAGAGGTTTAAGGAGACAAAGAAGAAGAAACAAACCAGAGAGGGTACAAATATAGAAGAGAAGAGGAGATAATGTAAAAGGATATCAAGTGGAAAAATCCTAATCTTCTTTTTAAAGTGATAATCTTTAAATAATAAAATACGCTCAACGAATATTTATCTGATTTAAAAAAAAATTAAAAATCATTAAACATGTGAAGAAGAATGGAGGGGCTAATTTAATTTTTACTATGTTTTTTTACGTCATGGAGTGTGTTACAAGGTACATAACAAAAATAGAATGTAAAAAGGTTCTGAGCCACTAATTAAACTTCTTGTTCTTTATTCCAAATTTTAAAACTCTTTTATTTCTTCGGCTCCAAGCTATCGTTCTTTTCTTCATCTTCTCTTTCACAATCTCAAAACCAAAACAGGGGAAAGAAGCACATTAGGAAGGGGCACATGTTCTTGATTTCACGTTGTACGATCTCTTTACCTATCCCTCATCGCTTTTACATTTTATTAATCGTAACATTATGCTTACGTTTCTCATAATAACTATACACATGCAGGATTAATCATGCTGAGGATTTTCATCCTTTTCTCTCTTCTCATACACTCTTGTGTTGCAGCCCCCAAAACTCCGGCTGCTCCTGCCAAGAAATGGCTCACCCTTAACGGTATACTTTTTCTATAACATGTCTCTATTTTTGGGTGCTAGCACATGCTTTGTTTGTGTTAATGAACACATACATGTGTTTGTCTTTCAGGAAAAGAGCCTGCGGTTGTAGCGAGAGGTGGCTTGTCAGGACTTTTCCCTGAGTCTAGCGCCCCTGCAAATGACTTGGCTGTTAGCTCCAGCTCCCCTGGTCTGACAGTGATGTGCAACCTTCAGATGACAAAAGATGGTGCGGGCATTTGCTTGTCTGATATCAGGCTTGACAATGCAACCACCATCTCCACACTCTTCCCCAAAGGCCAGAAGACCTACAAGGTCAATGGTCAAAACCTCAAGGGCTGGTTTGCTCTTGACTACTTGGCCGACACCATCTTCTCCAATGTCTCTCGTATGTCTTTCTTTTTTTTTTTGCATTCAAATGCTCCCAACCACTAGGCCAGCTGGGGCGGGTATCATAAATCCTACCGAATTAAATCTAAAATAAGGTTTGGTTTGGTTAGTACGGTTTTTGAAAATTGTACAAAAATTATTGATTTCAGTTTAGATTTTGGTTTCATTTTTGTTAAAAATTCAGATAATTCGTTAATTTTGGTTAGTTTGATTTGGGTTTTTTCGTATTGTTTGGTTATATATTTTTTTAAGAAAATTGAAATAACCGATTGTCGAACCCAAAACCAAACTTTTTAAAAAACCTACCGAATCGAATCAGGATCCTAACCGAACTAACCCAAAAATTTTGGTTCGGTTCAAAATCTCAGCCCTGCCAACCACCATCACTACACCTTTTTCATGTTTTTGACTTTTTGTATTATTGAGCAGTTGTTCAAAACATCTACACTCGGCCCAGCATTTTCGATGGCCAGATGCCGATTGCAGCTGTGGAGGAAGTCCTCGACACCAAGCCTCCCAAGTTCTGGTTAAGCGTTCAGGTTTCTCTCTTCTTCCCATCTTTGACAATATGATTAACAAACCTAAGGAAGCTTCTTGTTGATGATTCATCAAATAAATAACAAAAAAATACAAATGCGCAGTACGATGCCTTCTACATGGAACACAAGCTGAGTGCAGCAGAGTACCTGAGAAGCTTCAGATTCCGTGGCATTAACGTCATATCATCTCCGGAAATCGATTTCTTGAAGAGCATTGGAAAGGATGCACGCAGGGCCAAAACAAAGCTCATATTCGAGTTCAAAGACCTGGAGGCAATGGAGCCAACTACCAACAAGAAGTACAGCGAGATTCTGCTGAATCTCGCTGCCATCAAGGCCTTTGCCACAGGTGTTATCATCCCCAAAGACTACATCTGGCCCCTAGACACGGCTATGTACCTTAAGCCCGCCTCCACCATTGTGGCTGATGCCCACAAAGCTGGTCTAGAGGTCTATGCTTCAGGTTTCGCCAATGATTTCCAAACCAGCTACAACTACAGCTATGATCCCTCCGCTGAGTATCTCCAGTTTATAGACAATGGACAGTTCTCTGTAGATGGCTTCATCACAGATTTCCCACCAACAGCATCACAAGCCATCAGTAAGATGACTTGCCATCCACGCATCCTCATATATATATATATATATATGTGTCTCCCAAAAAAAAGAAAAGCTAATTATGTTTCTTTTGCAGCTTGCTTTGCTCACCAAAAGAAAAACCTTCCCAAAATAGGCAACACGTTGGTCATAACACACAATGGAGCAAGTGGAGATTATCCAGGCTGCACTGATTTGGCTTATCGAAAGGCAGTCGACGATGGAGCAGATGTGATAGACTGTTCTGTCCAGATGTCCAAAGATGGAATCGCTTTCTGTCTTGATTCAGCAGACCTCATACCAACCACAACTGCCATGACCACTCTCATCACCAGAGCCAGTACCGTCCCTGAGATCCAGCCCAAAAATGGCATTTTCTCTTTTGATCTCACTTGGGCAGAGATCCAGTCTCTAAAGCGTAAGAAATTGATTTCTATTTTAACAACTCTTCTGAAATTCAGGGGGGCTACACCATTTCTTTAAGAACTTTATAAAATAATTTCTTGTAATTTGGGGTGACTTCCTACATAAAGAAAGTCTAAAAGTTTTGGGGTCAACGAAACTATCAACTAAGTTTGCTAAGATTAGAATGTTTTTTTTTATCCAGCTCAAATCCAGAGCCCCTTCTTAACTGTTGAGAAGTTACAGAGAAACCCAGTAAACAAGAATGCAGGGAAGTTCATGACTCTTGCTGACTTCCTTAAGTTCAGTAAAGCAACGGCAGTCACTGGAGTTCTCATCAACATCCAGGCAAGTCTTCTTTTATTATTTTTAATACTGAAAGATTTAGGGCCGATCCCAACGGTCACAACGGTCACTAATGTAATAACCATAATCTTTTTTTTTTCACTATAACTCTCTTAAAATTTGTTTTTCCACTATAACTCTTTTAACTTACTCAAGACATCTCCACTAACGCCTAGTTTTGTTGACAGAATGCTGCTTATTTAGCATCAAAGAAAGGCCTAGGAATAGTAGATGCAGTAAAGTCCGCTCTAACCAGTTCAAAACTCGACAAGAAGGTAATGATTCAGTCAGATGACAGTTCTGTTCTGGACAGTTTTAAGGATGTCACTAGAGTCTTGCGCATCGAAAAGGAAATAGGAGATGCTCCAAAACCAACCATTGAAGAAATCAAGAAACATGCAGATGCTGTAAATATCTGGAGAAGTTCTATTGTCCCAATCTCCCAAAGCTTCGCCATAGGGAAGACTAAGGTAGTGGAGGAAATGCACAAAGGGAATATCTCTGTTTACATATCTGTTCTTAGAAACGAGTTCCTCTCCGTAACGTTTGACTCCTTCTCCGATCCCACGGTAGAGCTTGCCACATTCATTGCAGGGAATGGCGTTGATGGAGTCATCACAGAGTTCCCTGCTACAGCCACCAGATACTTGAGTAAGTTTCTTAATTCCTCTCTACAAGATGAAACAACATAATCAAGATAATATATATTTGATGGAAAAATGCAGGGAGTCCATGCTCAGATTTAAACATAGAGCAGCCCTTTGCTATATTACCTGCAGAGGCAGGTTCTCTAATCTCCGTGGCATCCAAGGAAGCACAGCCACCGGCTAGTGCCCCAAACCCGCCTCTTGACGCCAAAGACGTGATTGATCCGCCTCTGCCCCCTGTTGCAAACTTGGCCTCCAACAATGGCAGTGGAGGAGCTCAGCCAGGTTCTCGTCGTTCAGGCACCATAGCCACCACTGCTAATCTCAGCCTGGCAATGCTGGCATTGGGACTAGTCCTATGTGCTGCTGCCTAATAAAGATAGAAGCACATTTTTGTAATATATTCTTCTCCGTGTAGTAGTAGTAGTCCACATGCACATATGCCATACATACTTTACCATACATTTTTTTTTTTTGGGCAAACAAACATTTCATTCATCTCTGAGTTTAGTCTCCTAAGTTGGAGTTCATTACATCCAATGTGAGACTAGATTTTGCCACCAAATCTGCCTCGGAATTAAAGTTGCGAGAAATGAAATTAAAGGAAATAACATCAAAGAGAGGGATAAATCGATAGATATTGAAACATGATACCGAACAGTTCAGGCTGATATCCTCCCGTCCTCAATAACTTGATTAGGGAAAGGGAATCCGAAAGAACTGCCAGGGATCGGACGTTATACTTTACCATACATATGTATAGAGACACACACATGCACACTGAGATTAAAAGGTCTGAACAAGGCTTCTTAATTGTGTAGGACTAATGGACACTGTTGATTAGATCAGAGATTGTGATAATCTACCAATATGAATCTTTTTCTCCTTTTTGTTTTCCCCACTTACCTTGTCTACCACGCTTCATGCTGCTGCAAAAGACAAAACATATATGCTCTATTTGTATTTATTGCTTTTATAATTACACTGTTTTATACCCCTCCCTGTTTTATAGTCCATTTATTTTGGTATTCTCTTGCTTAACTTGTTATCCAAAGACAAGGGCTTCCTGCTTTCTTGATCTAACCAACTTGTCTTTGTTTTCTTCTACTTGTTCCTCTCCTCCAAAGGAAAAGGTTGATGGGCCACCAAGAAAAAATGATATTATTGGGCCTTGACAGAAAAGCCCACATATCGGATAAGAGCAAGGACCACATACCAAAGACATCGATGCTTACGTGTAGATGCCAAAAAAAGAGCAGTCACTCCCTCGTGCGTGATCGCTTTGAAAACCACTGGAGGAGACGAAAAGCTCAAAAGCACATAGCTCACTGTGTTATCTACTCTCTTTTTAGTGGAAAGAAGTGTCAGATCGGCGAGTTAAACTATGTGGCGTTTCTTGGTGGTGATACTGACGGTGGCGATGGTTTCTGAGAGGGCAAGTTCGATCGGAGCTAACTGGGGCACACAGGCGTCGCACCCTCTTCCACCAGACATAGTGGTGAGGATGCTGAGAGAGAATGGAATTCAGAAAGTGAAGCTCTTTGATGCAGAGTACGACACTCTCAGGGCTCTAGGCAAATCAAACATCGAGGTTATGGTTGGTATACCCAACGATATGCTAGCAACTCTAGCCTCCAGCCTCAAAGCCGCTGAGAAATGGGTTTCTAAAAATGTTTCTACTCACATCAATACCGATAAAACCAACATCAGGTTTCTTTCCTGTTTTTTTACTTCTAATCAAACTTGAGTTCGGATTCTCCTAGACAGTAAAATAGGTTGTATATGTAACTAGTGATAGGCATTTGTTCTTGGCTTCGGTTCTTTTTTCTCCCGGTTCTGCTGTGCTAGAGGTTTAGGATCTATTTTGGTAATTAGAACATTCGATTATTTCGGGCTGGGAACCGGCTAATATCAAATGTAAATTCAGATCCCATTAGGTTCTGTTCTTGTTATTCGACTAATTCAAGATAAATATCAAAAATTTGAGTTTTCGGATTAAATATCATATTTTTTTTGGATTTTTGGATAAAAATTTGGGTAATTCATATAATTTTAAATATTTCGAATAAAAAATATTCGGATTTGGTTTTGGATATTTCAGTTTTGAAATAATATTTTTAAAATATTTGATTATTTAAAATTAAATATATTTAATATTTATAAGTATTTAGACTATTTAGAGAAACTCGGTATCTATTTGGTTCTTGATTCGATTTGGTTCAGTTTAAGTTTTTCAATTCTAATATAGGATTAGATTGAGTAACTGATAGGATCCAAATCCGAAACCAACCTCGTTTTTCGGTTTGGTTCTGTGCTTCGATTCAAGATAAATATGCATGCTGTAACGTAACCATGGCTTTAGTCTGAGATAAGTCTACATAAAGCTCATATCGTAGCTGTTGTTGTACAGATACGTAGCTGTTGGCAATGAACCGTTCTTGTCCACTTATAACGGGAGCTATCTCAATACCACTTTCCCTGCGATGAGGAACATCCAAATAGCGCTTATAAAAGCCGGTCTTCAGAACAAAGTGAAGATCACTTGTCCTTTAAACGCTGATGTCTATGACAGCCCCACCACCTTTCCTTCTGGAGGTGACTTCAGAGCCAACATCCATGATCTCATGATCACTATCGTAAAGTTCTTAGTCGAAAACGGTGGCCCTTTCACCGTCAACATTTATCCTTTCATCAGTCTCTACAACGACGCCAATTTTCCAGTCGACTACGCCTTCTTTGACGGCATCACGCAGCCGATTAGCGATGGTGGGGCTATCTACTACAACATGTTTGATGCAAACTACGACACTTTGGTGTACGCTCTTGAGAAGAATGGGTTTGTTAACATGCCTATCATAGTCGGTGAGATCGGGTGGCCCACGGATGGTGACAGGAATGCTAACGTGGAGTACGCTAGAAAGTTCAACCAAGGCTTCATGGCTCATATCTCAGGAGGGAAAGGGACTCCGAGAAGGCCTGGTCCTATAGATGCTTACCTCTTCAGCCTAATAGACGAAGACGCTAAAAGCGTTCAGCCTGGTTACTTTGAGAGACACTGGGGGATATTCACTTTCGACGGGTTACCAAAATACGCATTGAACTTGGGAACAACCAACACAGGAGCTTTGATACAAGCCAAAGGTGTGAGGTATCTAGAGAGGAAATGGTGTGTGATGAAGCCAAACGTGAGGTTGGATAATCCTCAGGTGGGGCCGAGTGTTAGCTACGCGTGTAGCTTAGGGGATTGCACTAGTCTTGGGGTGGGAACGTCGTGTGGGGATCTTGACGGTAAGGAAAATATATCTTATGCGTTCAACAGTTACTATCAGATAAACGACCAGCTTGATACGGCTTGTAAGTTTCCAAACATATCTGAGGTGACTAAGACGGATCCATCAACGGGAACATGTAAGTTTCCGATTATGATAGAGCCTTATTACGGTGGTGCTGCACATGTACAAGTGTTCTTCTTGCCACTGGTGATGGCTGCAGCCATCACTATCCTCAGTATTTTATGATGGTTTCTTGTCCATCTGTAACTATTATGTGTGATTATTATTTAAAAAAAAAAAATTGTCCAGAGCTTGCTAACTTGTCTCTCTATAGAAAAGCTGAGATTGATATTAAAGCAGCAACGAGGGATTTCGGTGCAATGTGCAAAGTTTAAAACTCTTGAGTACTGGTTTTGGTCTTGAGTTTTGTTTAGAGTCTTAGGCATATGATCTCTGAGTACTTGACAGTATCTTTAAAATTGGTTGAAGATTGCATTTAGTGTTTCAGATCTCAAGCAAGCAAAAGTGATAGTTGGAAGAGACCAAAGATGTTGTAGTGGTATGCACTATATTTCTTTGAAGAGTGCATTGTTCCACTAAAAGAACAAGGGAAGATGATGAGTGGTTTAACATGAAACAGAACACTCTGTGAGGTGATATTTTGAATTGGTATAGATAACTGAGAAAAAATTGGCAGAAGAATGTTCCAAAAAAAAAATCTAGATATTTGTATAAAGTCGGAAGATCTAACCGGTAACCATCGTAGAAATATTATAAATGAATAAGAAAAACCGATAAGAATATAATTATAGAAATAACGAAGAATGATTATTCCTTATCAAATTTAATAAGAAAAACCGATAAGAATATAATTATAGAAATAACGAGGAATGATTATTCCTTATCAAATTTAATAAGAAAAAACGATAAGAATATAATTATAGAAATAACGAGGAATGATTATTCTTTATCAAATTTAATAAGAAACAATTGTGTTTTATATTTCTTTACGATAAAAAGAATAAGAAAAAAAGGAAAGAAAAAAACTTAGATATTTGTACAAAGTAACCGAACACTGAATAAATAGGAAAAGAACGATATGAATAAAATTATAGAAATAATGAGGAATGATTAATCCTTCTATACGATAAAAGGAATAAAAATGAATGGAAAGAAAAAATTATTCTTCCTCAACCGTAAAATTTCTTATGAATACTAAAGAATGCATTGTACCTATTCGTTCCTTGGTCACCATTCATATCTGAATGTGACATGAATCAGGACAGTCTTCTGCCTTTGTCAAATTCTCATATTTTTGGAACTGATACCATATGCGTTAAGGCCATGGTCATCAACAAAAAAAAGGAAAGCGTGTCTACCAGAATAAGTAATGAAATCATTTAAGGAAAGCCAGGTAAAAATTGAGAAACGCTACCTTTGAACGTTATAGATATTTGAAAAAAGGAAATGAAAAAATTTAAAAACCACCTTACGAAAAGTTGTCTTTTGTGTTACAACTAAGGTAAGATTCAACAAACAACTAAGGAAAGAGACAGCCATGTGACTCTCCATGTCCCTGTTAATGGAAAGAAGACCGATAAATAGAAGTGAATATTTGTAATTTATGTCGAAAATTAAGGACCGAGTTTAAAGGCACAATCACTCCTTTGGACTTTGGTCTCCCTCCTCGTACAAACTACAGAGGTTGTCAGACACAAAGATAAAAACCAGATTCAAACTCTAATCTAATAGGACAATGGAGAATATGGTGAGCAATGAAGAGGGCAGAACTGATCAGTTTCCCGTGGGAATGAGAGTTCTTGCTGTTGATGACAATCCAACCTGTCTCCGGAAACTAGAAGAGTTGCTGCTTCGCTGCAAGTATCATGGTATGCTTCTGTCTCTTTGTCTGTTTTTTTAGTATGGGATCGCATCATAATGAGATGTTTGATTTGGATTTGGTCAGTGACAAAGACTATGGAGTCAAAGAAAGCTTTGGAACTGCTGAGAGAGAAGAGCAATATGTTTGATTTGGTGATAAGTGATGTGGAGATGCCTGACACAGATGGTTTTAAGTTGCTTGAGATTGGTCTTGAAATGGACCTTCCTGTCATCAGTACGTAGTCTCTTTTATTTCTTTTCATGTCTCAACTTTTAGTCTTTTTTCTTAACGTTTTGTTTTTGTTTAGTGTTGTCAGCGCATAGTGACTACAACAGTGTTATGAAAGGGATTATCCATGGCGCTTGTGATTATCTTGTCAAGCCTGTTTGTCTCAAGGAGCTTAAAAACATATGGCAACATGTTGTGAAGAAGAACATTAGCTCTTACAAGAAAATCATTGGCGGCCCTTCTCGCCAACTCCCCCCTTCTTTTGAATCTGTCCCAAGTGGCAGTAGGAAAAGGAAAGAGAAAGTTAATGATGACAGTGGTGATGGAGATGATAGTGATAGAGATGAGGAAGATGGTGATGGGAGTGAACAAGATGGTGAAGAGTCATCCACTAGGAAGAAGCCTCGTGTTGTTTGGTCACAAGAGCTTCACCAGAAGTTTGTCCATGCCGTTCAGCAACTGGGACTAGACAGTGAGTTTCCTCTCTTTTAAAGTTACCTTTGTGTGTGTGTGTGTGATGCAGGGCCGGCTCTGAGATTTAGGGAAGTTAGACGATTTATTAAAGATTTCAACTAAATTTTTTGGGGGCCATCTATTCAATTTTTTTTCAAAATATTTGAAGTCCTGAAAACAATGTTTCATTCGGCTTGGCTCAGGACCGGCCCTGGTGTGATGTGATGTCAATTATTTTCGCTGCTAATAATGATTTGTTTTGATGGTTTAACAGAAGCTGTTCCAAAGAAGATACTTGATTTCATGAATATAGAAAATCTCACCAGGGAAAACGTAGCCAGCCATTTGCAGGTACTAATCTTTCATCCACTCTTATTGCATTTTGATTATTCCTTTGTTAATGTAAACCTTTGGATGATGAGACGTTTCTATTTTTTTCTTTCTCTGGTTTGTGGCTGCAGAAATACAGACTATACTTGAAAAAGTTAGACGAAGGTCAGCAGCAGAACATGTCCCAAGATGCATTTGGGTCAAGAGATTCATCTTACTTTCATATGGCTCAACTTGAAGGACTAAGAGACTATAATTCCACAAGACAGCTCTCAAGCTCATCCCTCTTAACCCGCTCCACTCTCACCAAATTCCATCCCTCTGTGTATTCATCCATAAACCCCTCCAGCTTCATCCAACAGGGAAGCAACTCAGCTAATCCATTTGGAACATATCACAGTCCCTTGTTGCCAAGATCTCATAACGTGAATCTCTCTCCGCTAGAGCCCCTCCAGTTTCCTAGAAGCAAGTGCTCTCCATACATGGGAGAGTTTAAAGGGATAGGCAGTAGCTTCCTTGATTCTCGCATGTCTTTTGGTAGCTCTAGCAGCACTTCTCTGCCAAGTGCTTCAAGCAACAATCTGATGCTGCAAGAGAACTTTGCGCAGAATCTGCATGGGGCTTCTGATGGAAACCAGTCTTGCCTTGATGGAGGAGCTATGTCCAACTCTAGTGGCTTATCTAGTTTCCCTAGCTGGCAAGGGAATCTTAAAACAACAAACAGATTCCCATCAAACTCTTTACCGCTGAACCATGCTTTTGGTCAGGAACATGTGACATGTGGAGCGAACGGTCTAGGAGATTACAACACCTCATTGGTTTCTGCAGATAATCATGTTGGAGTAATGCAGTGTGAGCCTCCGTTGCTAGGTGACTTCATGCAGAACATGAACACACAAAAATGGGAGGAACAGAACTGCACCATGATGAACAACTCTTTCGGTAACGTTGACTACCCTTTACCAGTGGATAACAACATGATTTTCAGGGATAACAACGGGACAAGAAGCAAAGTTTTGGATGATTCATTGATGATGAGTCCAATTGAGGAGAGTGCAACAACTCTTAACAGTAGAGAGTGTGTGGGAAACGTTAATATGATGGATCCAGAGATGAGGCCGGGGAAGCTAGAGAATGATCATGATGTGTTTGATGACATAATGAATGAGATGTTGAAACAGGTAAAGTGAAAAATGACTTTTGTTTTAGTGTGATTTGATTAAAGTTTTTTTTTTGTGTGGTAGGAAATGAAATTGATGTTGTGTGTTGTTGCAGGATGAGAATAACGGTATGGTGTCAGTGGCTGCTAGGTTTGGTCTTGATTCGTTTCCTCCGCCTTAGTTTCGTGGGCCCTTCTCTATTGGTTTTGCATCGTTTTTCTTCTATTGCTGGATGCCATTCATTGTTTTTTTTTCTCCACATTGTTTCCTCCGATTATCAATAGATCACCATACATACGGCACCAACCAGTTTCAAACTCTCTTTTGTTTATTGGAATTTTATTTCTACAAGTTTTATATGTTTTGGTTTGAACATTGCTTCTTGTAGTGTTTTGATGTACGAAGCATTTGATCAAACAAAACCTCTTTGATTACACACAACATGGATACGACAGTATCGATATATAAACCTACCATTCACAAGCATCCTCTACTTGCAAGTTTTGTGGAGTTGAAGGCTACTTGAAAATGTCTTGGCATACCCTGAGTTATAAACATCAATGTAATGATCATCATCGCATATCTTTTCACATATTATTCCCATAAATTATATATTTCCTACTCCTTTTATTTACATGATTTTTTTTTGATTTCTAAAAGACTAATATTTTAGATTGTGACAAAAAAAAAAAGATTAGTACCTTCCATTTTAAAATTAAAAATAACAAAGGATGGAGAAATATTTATTAAAATGGATAAAATTAACTTAATCCAAAAATAAATAAAATAAATAAACATTTGTTGTTTGTTAATATGTAAGAAAAAAATTATTATTTTGAAATAGATGAAATGTGTTTTATCTTTAAAAATCTAGTTTTTTTTATTTACAATCAAAATGACTAACTTCCTTCTGATTTCTTTCCAAAAAAATACGACAAACTTGAATTTTAAACCTATTAAAGATTTATTAATTGCATATTATGAAAAATGTTTCATTATGCTAGATATTCACATTTTGGTGGGGTCTAAAAATAGCAAAAGGAAGTCAAATCAAAGTATGAATCTTTGGCCCATTGTATTGTATTCTTCTTCTACCTCCCACAGAACAATGAATCGAAAAGAGGAACAAGACATTTGTGTCTTCCTCCTTGTTTCACACTGCATCTCATAGACGCTACTAGAACCATCTGCCCTACACGCTTCCCACGTGTCAGTCTCTCCTCCCACAGAAATCTACTTTGTTGTCTTTTTCTATTTTCCTATATAAAAAACCAACAGAATCCCTCTTTCTTATCCTTACTATTACCTCTCAAAGTAAAATAAAATATCTGAAACGTAGAGAAGAAGGAAAAGATGACGACGGCGAAGAAAGCGATGGAAGTGGTGAAAGATCTCGATTTAGCAAGATACATGGGCCGTTGGTACGAGATTGCTTCTTTCCCTTCCATTTTTCAGCCCAAGAACGGTGTTGACACTCGAGCCACCTACACCCTCAACCCTGACGGCACGGTGCACGTCTTGAACGAGACGTGGAACGGTGGCAAGAGAGCTTTCATCCAAGGCTCAGCTTACAAGACTGATCCTAAGAGCGATGAGGCCAAGTTCAAAGTTAAGTTCTATGTTCCTCCTTTCCTCCCTATCATTCCAGTTACTGGAGATTACTGGGTGTTGTATATTGATCCTGAGTACCAGCATGCCGTCATCGGCCAGCCTTCAAGGAGTTACCTCTGGGTATGTCTTTTTGCCTTTTGATAAATGATTGAAAAAATTTAAAGGGTTTTGATATTGACTGGCTATGTGGTGTAGATACTGAGCAGGACGGCGCATGTGGAGGAAGAGACTTACAAGGCGCTGGTGGAGAAGGCGGTGGAGGAAGGGTACGATGTCAGCAAGCTTCACAAGACTCCTCAGAGTGACACACCACCTGAGTCCAACGCTGCTCCTGACGACACCAAGGGTGTTTGGTGGTTCAAATCCATGTTCGGTAAATAGTTACAGAAACACAGGAACTTCGTTTCACCTCCTCTTACTTCCATTGGTTGTGTAATAATATTACTACCCCTTGTGTTTACTCTAGCAATCACCGTTCTGCTTTTGTGTATATTGAACATCTAAACTATATCTATTTGGGTTAGTAAAAGCGCTGTTTATTATACATAAACGTACCAAAGTGAGAACAAAAGATAATATATAAATATGGTAAAGACAAATTGAAATTGACATGTATTTGGATAACACACCATACGACTCGAGTCTTGTGGAACTTGGAAGTGCATGAAAACTAAAGAGACACGGAATCAGATACATAAAAATGGAAAAGAGCGTCGCCTTCCGGCAAAAGTTTGTTGACTATATATACCTCAGGCAGAACATGCAGAGTAGCAGCTCACAGAATAGTGCAGCATGAGTTCGTTTTCTTCGCTTGCTTGTAGAACATCTGTTTCAACCAAACCACCAGAAATATCAGGTCAATCCATATCAAAATATTATCCACAGCTTCTCTATTCATCTACCCTCAACAATATATAGCATGTGATAGTTCCTCCATATGTACAAAACTATCAAGCTCCCTCATATCCGGCTCTTTCTACCGTGTTAACCAACTATGTTCAGAGACGCAGACAGAGGAAGAAAAAAAAAACTACTACGGGACTTTAGGAGGTTACCTGCGAAGCCATGCTCAAATCAGAGCTCTTCTCCACTAGGCTGTCCAGCTTCTCACCACGGGCTAGAACGCTATCAATGGTTTTATGCTGTAATACAGAACACAGATTCAGTCATTGGGGGAAACAAAGAAGATTTAACGTATCTGCTAGACGTTCTTGTTTTGAAGTTACAGAACGGAACTCGTTGACAGAACATCATACTATTTGGAGCATATCTGACGACTCCGTCGGCAAAAACTTAGGGAAAAAGATTGGAGCACTTACAAGGATAATCTTGGTCTCATCCAACTCCCTCTGGATTTTCAAGAGCTTATCCGCCTCTGCTGGATCCTGAAGATTACAAATAAATGGCAAAATACCAGAAACACTTAAGACCAAACCACTCAGCAAAACCAACTTGATCATAAAATAATGAGGCCTAATAGATCTAGTTCATGAGGAATAAGTAAAGGTGGATCCTTTAGACCAAACCACTCAACAAAACCAACTTAATCATAAAAAATGGGACCAATAGAAGTAGATCATGAAGAATAAATAAGTAAAGGTGGATCCTTTATGTCCACCGAACAGAGCATCTACCTACAGTTTTTGTTTAACAAGTTCCACAGAGAATAAAATAAATGAGAAAATAGAATAGCAGAAATGAAGAAAACCTGAAATTTGGTAAGAGCTTCAGCTAAGTAAGGCCAAGTTTGAGAGGAATCTTCTTTAGCAGATCTCCACGTCTCCCCAAAACTCTTGTTATACTCATCTAAAACCTGCCAAAAACAAATTGATTTCTCAAAACATAGACTATATAAACTAACTATGAGACCAAATTACACAAAAAGGAGTTGAATTATTAGGGAAGAACCTACCTGATTGAGAAGAGAAAAGGCACTACGAACAGGATAATGATCGTCCATGAATCCAACCGCGCAAAGTCCATTTCTATTGTAAGCGTGAACCTTATACTCTACATTCATCATCAACATCAAACAAACCCTAATTACGCCTCCCAAAATCAACAATAACAAAGCTCCAATCGCATTAAAAATTATAGATCCGAGAGATCTAAAAGGTAGAAGAAGAAGAAGAAGAAGAAGGAACCTTCGTGCTGGACGGATTGGCGCTGAGAAGGAGGGGTGCGGCTAGCGACGGTGCGACCGACGAAGACGACGAACTCCTTGACGCTAGATCGCTGGAAATAGCCGAAGTGAGAGACGTCTGAGGCGTTGGCGAGGATTACGGGATCCGTGGTTTCGGGAGCGGCTTTGAGAACAAGCAACGCGGTGATCTTCATGGCTATGTTGATCGATCTCAAAGGTTGCTGCGTCACAAGGAAACGGAAGGAGAGGAGAGGAGAAGAGGCGTCGGCACCTGGAAACAATAAAAATATTCAAGTCCGGTGGGTAAAAAAGGGAGCTTTCATGTCTCGATGACATTCATTATATTATATACCCTCGCTATCTGTATTTCTTATTCAATAAGAATTATATACTATTATTATATAATAAATTCCATGTTACACATGGATAATTTATTATATAATTTATTTTCTATAAATTGTAATCCAAAGTCGAAAGAGGGTTATTATTCGTTTCTAATATACTTGGAATTCGTATAAAATTTATTGATTTTCAAATGTAACATATAATCAATATTTATAGCTCCAGATTCTTTAAATTTTTATTTTCAATGCTAAACTCACTTAAATCCATTACACAAATTCTTGCATTTGATCATATAACTAAAATTATAAAGAGAAAATGATTAGAATAGACCTAAAAAATTTTTATCACAAATATAGACCTTAACAATTAAAATGACCAAAATATCACTTAAATGTTTTATTAAATATACATTTATACCTCTTGGATTAACTAATTCTAGATTTTTTTGTTAAAAATTGAGGAGTGGGGTTTTGGTAATAGGATTTCAAATTTAAAAAAAAATAAATTCAAAATAAAAAGTGTTATTTTGGTCATTTTAATTTTTGAAGTCTATTTTTGTGATAAAAACTTAAAAGAGAATTATTTCAGAGAATTGCCCAACTATAAATCATAAAATTAATAAACATGATTTAGTATAAATTTAAACAAATAACAATATATTTAATTTAGATGTACAAGTATAAGAGAGAAATTGTTTGAAAAGATTCAACTAAACATAATCTAACATTTTAAGTTTGAAGTTTAGCTAGTGTTGAAAAAACGGGTCAAATTCATCATAACTATTATTATTATAGATAATTTTAATTATTATTTCTTATTTATTATTTAAAGATGAGATTAAATTTCTATAAATATTTTATAAATTATTTTTTAACATGTATAAATCATTTGTGAGGGTTAAATAAGAATTTTCTAATCATAAATTTAAAGTATTTATAAAATAATTGTTTCTAAAGGAAGTAAATTTGCTTAGTTGTCAACTTCTCCATGATTTTAGGGAATTTTGCTTATTTTCATGTTTTAATAATTTATTATATAATAAAAACGAATTTATATTAATAATATTATATTTTTAGAAAATATGTTAATTCTTTTGTACTAGATTTTTATCTTAAAAAATATATCTATAACATTATTTGAGAAGTAAATTTGCTTAGTTGTCAACTTCTCCATGATTTTAGGGAATTTTGCTTATTTTCATCTTTTAATAATTTATTATATAATAAAAACGAATTTATATTAATAATATTATATTTTTAGAAAATATGTTAATTCTTTTGTATTAGATTTTTATCTTAAAAAATATATTATTAAATTATTTGTTTAGAAGTAAAAATTTGCTTAGTTGTCAACTTTTCCATGATTCTAGGTTATTTTGCTTATTTTCATATTTTAATAATTTATTATAAAATAAAAAAAAGAATTTATGTTAATAATATTATAGTTTTAGAAAATATGTTAATTATTTTGTATTAGATTGTTATCTCAAAAATATATTTTTAATTATAAAATTTAAGTGAGTTTGATGATTAATTTGTAACTTTCTGTGATTTAGGTAATCTATACTATTATTTGTGAATGATTTTTTGCAAGAAAACTCTCATGTTGAAAGTTAGAACGGTTAATATCGTTTATACCCTTAATTAATAATTAAAATATTTAATATAATTAAACATAAATAAAAAACGAATTTCAACGATTTTAGATTTATCTTTATCTAAAACTATTTTATATTGGGTTATAAAATTTTTATTAACCTTGAAAAATAATTATATTAGTTAATATACTTGAAAATAATTATATTAGTTAATATATAATTAATTATAAATTAAAATCTAATTTCATTTCTTTGATAATTATCTTTATTTTAATTATTTTTATATTATGTGATAAAGTCTTTATCAACCTTGAAAAATAATTATATTTTTTAACATATAATTAATTCTAAATTAAAATATGAATCTCATGAATTTGATAGTTATCTTTATCTAACTTTTTATATTGTGTTATAAAGTCTTTATTAATGTTGAAAAATAAATATATTTGTTAATATATAGTTTATTATGAAAAATCAATTTGCAAAGAATATAAGTATAGATAATTTATATTGTGTTATCCAAAACATTATTAAACATAATTTTTTATACTTTTTTGTTATGTATAAAAACAATATTAATTTATTACTAAATGTTTCAAGTTTATGAGTATTTTCAAATATAAGTTGTGTAATGAAAATTATTTATATGATAATGAAAATTTTATAAATAAAAAGAATTTGTTTAGTTTATATTAAATATTTTAAGCCTATGAACAATAATTTATTATAATTTACATAACTTGGTTATATATTTATTTATAGATATTAGTAAAATTATTAAGCCCGCAAGTGCGGACAAAACACCTAGTTTAAAGTATTTATAAAATAATTGTTTCTAAAGATTAATTTGACAAAACTTGTAGTAAAATTGGAATTCCACCAATGTCTTACATGCATAAACCGATAAGCTCCGGTAAAAACATTTAAAAATTTAAGAAGAGTTAGTTATGTAAGAAATTTAAAATATAGCAAAAAGGAACAAGAAAAGCGGTTGAGAAGGGAATGGCGGGGAAAAAGAGATAAAAATAGAAAGTAAATGGCCATAAAATGGGATTACTGAGTTAATTATTTTTTTTAACACATTGATTAGCTTCTTTGTGTTTGACAATCTCTTCTTCTTCGCTTCTTGTCCCTTGTCAAGAAACAGAACGAGGAAAACAAGGGGAAGAAGAAGAGGTTGATTAATGTTCTTCTTCTTTTCTCGCTGTAAGATCTCTTCCCACATTTTTTTCTGAAAATGTTTGCATTATATGTGCTTATTGTACATGTATTTGACTCTGTTTTACGTACATGCATGCAGGATCAATCAATCAACCAAACACAAAGATGCTCAGGTTCTTTATCTTTTTCTCCCTTTTTATTCATTCTTGTGTTGCGGCTCCCAAGATTCCTGCTCCTGTTCCTGCCACGAAATGGCTCACTCTCAATGGTATGTATCATTTTCTTTGGTGGTGTAATCTATAAAAAGGTTACATAACATGATGTTTGTTTTTCTTTTTAAAAAACACATACCTATTTTTTGGTCTTTTATAGGACAAGAGCCAGCGGTTGTGGCGAGAGGAGGCTTCTCCGGTCTTTTCCCTGAGTCAAGCGCCTCTGCAAATGACATGGCTATTGCCACCAGCTCCCCTGGCCTCACAATGTTGTGCAACCTTCAGATGACAAAGGACGGTGTTGGCCTTTGTTTGTCTGATATCAGGCTTGACAATGCAACCACCATCTCCACCCTCTTCCCCAAAGCCCAGAAGACCTACAAGGTCTATGGTCAGGACCTTAAGGGTTGGTTTGTCCTTGACTACTCTGCCGACACCATTTTCTCCAATGTCTCATGTATGTCTTCTTCTTCTTCTCTTTTTATCTCTTCAAAATGTTCCCCACCACCACCAAACCTTCTCATGTTTAGTATTTGTTGAGCAGTGGTGCAGAACATCTTCTCTAGGCCCAGTATCTTCGATGGCCAGATGCCTGTTTCCGCAGTGGAGGACGTCCTAGGAATCAAGCCTCCCAAGTTCTGGTTGAGCGTTCAGGTTTTTTATTTATTCAACCTCTCTTTGACGATATGAATAACAAACTCCAGAGGATTCTTGTTGATTCATCAAACAATACAAATGTGCAGTATGATGCATTCTACATGGAACACAAGCTGAGCGCAGCCGAGTACCTGAGAAGCTTAGGATTCCGTGGCATTAATTTCATCTCATCTCCAGAGATCGGTTTCTTGAAGAGCATAGGGATGGATGCACGCAGAGCCAAGACAAAGCTCATATTCGAGTTCAAAAACCCCGAGGCAATTGAGCCTACCACCAACAAGAAGTACAGCGAGATTCTGCTGAACCTCGCTGCCATCAAGGCCTTTGCCACAGGCGTTCTTGTCCCCAAAGACTACATTTGGCCCCTTGACTCGACTAAGTACCTTAAGCCCGCATCCACCTTTGTAGCTGATGCACACAAGGCCGGTCTAGAGGTCTACGCTTCAGGTTTCGCCAATGATATGCAAACCAGCTACAACTACAGCTATGATCCCTCAGCTGAGTATCTCCAGTTTGTGGATAATGGACAGTTCTCTGTAGATGGCTTCGTCACTGATTTTCCACCAACAGCATCACAAGCCATCAGTGAGATGACCATTACCATATATATATGTCTACTCAAAAACTTGAAGCTAACGACTCATGATTCTGTTCTCTTGCAGCTTGCTTATCTCACCAAAAGAGAAATCTCCCCAAAATAGGCAATGCGTTGGTCATAACACACAATGGAGCAAGTGGAGATTATCCAGGCTGCACTGATTTGGCTTATCAAAAGGCGGTGGAAGATGGAGCAGATGTGATAGACTGTTCTGTCCAGATGTCCAAAGACGGAATGGCTTTCTGCCATGGTTCTGCAGACCTTATACCAACCACAACTGCCATGACCACTTTCATGTCCAGAGCCACCAGTGTTCCTGAGATCCAGTCCACCAATGGCATTTTCTCTTTTGATCTTACTTGGGCGGAGATCCAGTCTCTGAAGCGTAAGAAACACTCTTTCTTAAACTATTCTTACTCTCAACTAAAATGCTAAGATTTGAATGTCTTTTTTGTCTCCAGCTCAAATCCAGAGCCCCTTCGCATCTGCTGGTGAATTCCAGAGAAACCCAGCAAACAAGAATGCAGGGAAGTTCATGACTCTCTCTGAGTTCCTGGAGTTTGGGAAAACAAAGGCAGTCACTGGAGTTCTCATCAACATACAGGCAAGCCTTTCTATTTTAAATGCTTACACAATAGCATCTCGTCTAACACCTTGGTTTGTTAACAGAATGCTGCTTATTTAGCATCAAAGAAAGGCCTTGGAATTGTAGACACAGTCAAGTCCGCTCTAACCAATTCCACACTCGACAAGCAATCAACCCAAAAGGTTTTGATTCAGTCAGATGACAGTTCAGTTCTGTCCACTTTCGAAGCCATCCCTCCGTACACTCGGGTCTTGAGCATCGAAAAGGAGATCGGAGATGCTCCCAAGCCATCCGTTGACGAAATCAAGAAGCACGCAGATGCAGTCAATCTCAGGAGAAGTTCTCTCGTCACCATCTCTCAAAGCTTTGCCACAGGGAAGACTAACGTAGTGGAGGAAATGCACAAGGGGAATATCTCTGTTTACGTCTCAGTGCTAAGGAACGAGTACATGTCTATAGCGTTTGACTACTTCTCTGATCCTACGATAGAGCTTGCTACATTCATTGCAGGCAATGGCGTTGATGGAGTCGTCACTGAGTTCCCTGCCACCGCTACTAGATACTTAAGTAAGTTTCTAAACCTCTCTACAATATCATGAAAAGAATAAATATAAGGCTGATGAGATTATATATATATTTGATGCAAAAATGCAGGGAGTCCATGCTCAGATTTGAACAAAGAATTGCCCTACGCCATCTTACCAGCAGAGGCTGGCGCTCTACTCTCTGTGGCAGCCAAGGAAGCACAGCCACCAGCTAGTGCCCCAAGCCCACCTCTTGACGCCAAAGACGTGATTGATTCGCCACTGCCTCCTGTTGCAAACATGGGAACCTCTGATGGAGAAGCTCCGCCACGTGCCCCTCCTAGTTCAGGGACCATTGCTACTACCTCAGCTAATCTCGGCCTTTCCTTGCTGGCAATAATTGCCTTTGGACTAACTCTTTTATGTTGAAATAAAAGATTGATCACACACCATTATAACTCCAAATGTTGAACATGACAAAAATTTGAGCTATTTTATGTGTTTACTCCCACTCACGTTAACCAAAAATATGCAGCAAACAGTGATTTGTTGTTATGTAGATTGAAAGCTCTAAAGAATCTTTGTTGGTTGTGATAGGAATGTTTGATTTCAGTAGAGATTTTGAATCCTGATAATCCGTTTACGAACCTTTCTCCACCAAGCAGTTTCTACTTGCATAGTTGTCGGCCTTCTCGACATAGTAAACCTGCAAAGAGGCAAAACCCAGCGATCAATTAAAGAGTACTACAGTAACAAAATTGCTGCCTTGTAAACCGTTAAGTTATTTTTATAATATTTTCGCCCTCAACTAGTAGAATAGTATTCACTCAGAGTCACCCTTGTCTGTATTCCCTCCCTATTCTTACACAACATAGCTCCCCACGCACACACAAACAATCTTCCTAATCTCCTAATTTATTGTCATACGTTTTAAGTATAATAAGCTACATGAATTAGCATCAAATTATATCCCTTGATCTAGCTAGCCAAAGAAAGCCAGTTCTCATTTCTATTTTTACCTCAAATCCAGAACAGGCCAGGAATCGCAGGTGTGGAAATCTGCATACTGGGATCGGAGGTTGAGGTCGATGGAGCGGAGGAGGAGGTTGGACAAATTAGGATAAATTAAATAACTAAAATTAATAAAAAAGATCTACCGGTTTTGTAACTGAACAATTGCAGAATTAAAATGCAACTTTTTTGGTAAACCAAAGACCAAACCGGGTTGAAATAAACAACAAGCAGCAGCATCTCCAGATTATTTTCTGGGTAGCTGCTGAGAAGATGATCGGAGTGGGGAAGATGAAACTGTACTCGAACGTACTTGACAAGCCACTCAGCAAAGGCAAACAAGAGGTACTTCTCTCTCTCCCCTTAGATCCACTTTTGATTGGATCTATTAGTTTTGAGAAGGGGGGATTTGATTCGTATCCATCTTCTTCTTTGCGGTGATCTCTTTTCAATTCACGTGTGGATTGGTGCAGGTGAGCTTGAGCGCGTTTGCCTTGTTATTCTCGGAGCTAGTTCAGTACAATCAAACACAGGTTGATAACATTGCTGAACTTGAAAGAAGGTATGATATTAGTTGCTTGTTTATTCGGTTCTCATTCTCACAGTCCAACATTTTTTTTTTGATCATTGATGGCTCAACAATTTTTTGATCATTGATGGCTCTCTCACTTAGACTAGATGATGCTGGGTATGCTGTTGGAGCTCGAGTTCTCGAGCTTCTTTGCAACCGAGACAAGGTACGTTACAACTGTTACTTGTGCTATGTGATGACTGAAAGAAACAAATTGTCCTTTCTTATAATTTTTGTTCATGGAAGAGCATTCACTCATGAGTCTCTCGTTTGTTCATTGTATTCAGGGAAACCGAAGAGAGACACGGTTACTAGGAATCTTGTCTTTTGTCCACAGCACCGTCTGGAAGGTTTTGTTTGGAAAGGTTTGTTAGTTAGTTAGTTGTCTCGAGTCTTTCTATGGATATTTTGTATCCTGACTTGCTCCTATCTCTCCTTATCGAAATAGGTTGCTGACTCACTTGAGAAAGGTACTGAACATGAAGATGAGTACATGATCAGTGAAAAGGAGCTTCTCGTCAACAGGTCTATTAGTTTCTCTTCCCATTAAACAACTCGAGATTAAAAAAGGCAATTGGGCATATGAAAAATGTAAAACGTGGTAGGTTCATATCAATTCCAAAAGACATGGGGACATTCAACTGCGGGGCGTTTGTGGCAGGCATAGTCAAGGTGAGCATGCATATATTCATGAATATATTAAAACTGGTTTTAATAAGAGAAACACTGACGCAGCCATTTCCTGTAAGCAGGGAGTTTTGGATAACGCAGGGTTTCCTGCTGTGGTCACGGCTCATTTTGTACCCATTGAAGGTCAGCACCGCCCTCGGACCACCATTTTGATCAAGTTTGCTCATGAGGTTAATCCTTTCCCATCTCTTTTCCTCAACTAAATTTTTGGAAAGGACTAAACCTTCACCACCTATTATACTTTGTTCCATCAATGTCTGCACAGGTGCTTAAAAGAGAGGCACGGCTAAGCCAATGAGGAGAACTTTTTGCCACAATCTGAGGACTATGTTGGCTTTATATGAACTGCTTGTGCAAATCTGCTGGTCCGTTTTTGAATGATTGATAAAAGCTTTTGAATCAAGCTGTAAAGCCCTTGTCGTCCGTGCATTTCATGTAAACTACACATACATATCCTCCTGTTATTATTGCATCTGATGATACAAACACTTTCCTAGCTGCACATAGATCTTTTTTGTCTCAAGGTTTCTATTTAACTTCATTTGGTTACCAGTCAAATACATGTCATCATGATACCACCACATAGTAGCTTGGCTAAGTAATGAGAGTTTTCTTTCACATAATTTTATTTATATCTGTTTTTCCATACAAAAGCTAAGAACATCTCTTTTTAGGCCTCACAGTAGGGTAAGAGAACTCAGAGGGAGTTTCCTTGATACATGCAATATAATAAGAGTAAAACTCAAAGCAAAGAAGGTAACAACAACATGGTTCAGTTCCTGCCAAGTGGTAGTGACCTGCAAGAGTAAGTCTCTCTGAAATCAGACTTCTTCTTGGAGGAAGTGAAGAGAGAAGCATACACTTCCTTGGTAGCATTAACCGGAACTTTATCCCCAGCCTTGAATTTCTTCACAGTGCCACTCACATTCCCATCATCCATCTGCCTCTTTGCAACCTTCGCACCTGCATCAACCACCACAGCAGCAACACCGTTCTTGCTCTTCTTCGACGCACCTTTCTTCTCCCTCACCTTCGCTCTCTCCTCCTCCATCCTCTCCCTCAACAACCCCACCTCCTCCTCTGTACCGTTCACCACAATCTTATCAGAATCTTTAACATCCGCGTGACACACCAAACACGAACAAGACTTCACTTCCTTCAACGCCTTTGCACTCATCACATGCCCACACCCCCTAAGAACAAAAAACTTATACTTTCCATTAAACTCAAGTCCAGAGACCGGACACTGAAACTGCCCACTAGTCGTATCTCCCTCAGAACCAGCAAGAGGCGTGAGCTTGATGTTCACCATATCCTTCAAACCCTTAATGTAATAAAACTGCTTAGGCAATTTCTTCAACAAGAGAGCATTCACCAAAGCTTCCTTGTTGAACAAGTTCCCGAGGAGATCAACCACGCAAGGCTCAGCCAAGGGTTCATTAGACAAAGCGCAGTTCAGCCATTTAGAGAGCCTCTGCTCGTTAGGATCAACCTTGTCAGGTTTCTTCTCCGCGTACATGTTGAGGTAACAATCACGAGACTCTGCTCCCGTCGCGCCTCCATCTCCTCCGCCTCCAAGGAGACGAGGGTGAAGAGTGAGTAGGGATACGGAAGGAAGGTTAGATACTTGGATCCGTGTAGAGGCGTACAAAGGCTTCCCATTTAGACCGATGGAGAAATCAGATAAATGAGATGATGATTCGAGTAAGGACGTGAGACGTGAGAGAGTTAGTATAGATTGTGTCGGATCTAATTGCAGAGCGACGGTTTGTTGAGAGTAGGGAGATGTAACGAAGATTTGGCGCTGGATGTGCATTGTGGGCGGAGGAGACTTAGGTTTCCGATCAATTTGGTCGGTGGTTCGATTTTTGGGAACGAGGAGGGAGAAATATGCGAAAAAGGACAACAATAAACTGTGTTGTGTAATAATAGCTGGACAAGTTTCACTATGGGCTTTGGGCCGGACATACTATAAAATTAGAAGATGCTTAAAGAGTATCTTTAAGAAATTAAAAAATGAAAAAGTCATAAATAATATAAATTATTTGTTTTTTAACGTACACTAATAATATTTTTACTAATAAGTATCTATTAAATCATAAAATAATATAAAAAACTAAAATATTGAAAATCAAACGGTATTATAGAATTAAATAAAACAATTACGTGCTCCCCTCTACATCTTCAGTGCTACAAGTAAAAACCTCCTTAGCGTTTGACTCCAAAAAAAACCTCGTTGGCCCTTGTCACAAAGAAAGAAAGAGAAAAGCAATGGAAGGTTTACTGTTGAAATTTAATGTAGTTGTTGCCGTAGTCGTTTGTGGCTTCATCCTGCTCCTGCCTTCTTCTACAGGTACGTAAGAAATACCCAATTATCTTAATCAAAAAACGTTCATAGAGACATATTTTTACAAAATGTGTCGTCTTTGGACAGATGTTGATAGTGGGGTGTTTCGTGACTACTCAATCGGTCAATGTTGGCATTGGCCTTTGAACCTAGTCTTAGAAAAAGGTACTTGCAGGGAAAGATGCCTAGAGAAGAAGAGGTTATACCCAGAGATACACTCATGCATTTATGATGGCTACTGCACTCCTTTAGTTCTCAGTGATTACCTCATGTTATGTATGTGCAGCTGTGCAGCAAAGTAACTATTGCCTTTAACACTTGTTCTGTATTTCGTAATGTTTCCTGTTAATTTATCTTTCAAGTACTTAAAGCCAAGCAATCTATGGATAATAAAGTATCCAAAATATTTTTCACTTCAGTTTAAGAATTAGCAGCTTCTCTTCTTGGGCCATCCACTATCTGGTCTGGGCTACTGCTCTAATTGTCTAGGGAAGAGACGTGCGTTCCACGTCTTTCCCTATTGGCTTGTGTCAACGTTGCTATCGTTTGTTCAACCGAATGTAAAGCGGAACCAGTATAATATTCACGTTAAAGCTTCGCACTTTCAATAAATTATATAAGATATCGTATCAAGGTAGTGGCCAGTTCATGAACCGTCCACGCTATTGGATGACCAAGGATAAGACTTATCCATTCAAAGCAGAGGAAGACATATGGATACACCTCAGCGATGAAGAAGTCAAGTCTATGACTCATGTCTCCAGTAGCTCATTAAACAAATAGTGAGGTTTTAAAATACAGAAGATGTGTGTATTATAATATAGTGAAGTAACAGATGTAACAGATGAACCCTAACTAAAACTAAACAGATTACAATATGTTTACATATGTGAGGGGGAAAAAGGGAAATTTAAGAATTTTTCTTTAGTTTATTCGGCATCATCATCATATAAGGATCTCTTTTAATTTTAGCTACTTGTTCTTCTTCTTCATCTTCTTCGTCGTCGTTTACTACATATTCATCATCGTCATCGTCTTGCGCAGTGGTCCAAACCATCTTTTGCTGATAATATCTAAAGGCAACGAATAACATGAATGCTGCCCAAACACGTGCAACTACGGATGAGAGGTTCCAGACGAGAGTGAAGAGTGCCAAAGCCACAGCCTTTTTGTGGTTGCACGTTTCCCATGCGTCTCTGAATCTCCTCAACCAAAATTCCCCTGAAAATGTACACAATTTACTGTTAGAATAACTGTCTCAACGAAGATGTAACATAGAAAGGAAGGATTCATTACCGTAAGCGGAGAAGTGGGTTGAGTAGGAGGTGAAGATTTTAGGCACTGTAAACGCTCCAAGAAAACCTGTTCTCACACATCAATGATCAAACACACAACTCCACTTGTTAAAACAAGAAAGTCTTGTAGTCCAGTGTTAGAAATGGTAGGAAGCAAAAGTTACCAAATTTGGCAAGGTTCCAAAGAGTGATAGAAGAGCCACATCTGGCCAAGATGAACAGCACCACTCCCATCTGAACATTATCATCATCATCTCCTCTTTGTTAAGCTGATGAATAGAGGGAGAGAAAGAGAGAAAGACTAACCTTGAGGGTGGTGGAGGGATCACCGGAGAAAAGGGCTCTGAGTTGAAGCAGAGACTCGTTGAGGTAAGGCATTATGAGTCTGAGTATCCTCTTCACATCTTCCTCTCTCACTCCAACACCTTTATGTCTCTCCCCCTCTTCCACTATTCCCCTGTGTCCATTCATATATATATATATATATATATATATTTTCTGAGACACTGAGTTTCAAACCAAATCACAGAAACCACATGCAAAGTAACTATGCATCATCTACCTGCGAAGTACGGCTTTGAATACGAACATGAGGCCAAGATAGATGAGTCCCAAATAGGAAACCACTGATATGAAGCTGAAGTTGAGATCATTGGCGTATGAAGAAGAGATGATGAGGAATGTTCCGAAGCCGAACACAAGCGTCGACCTTGATGCATCTCTCCACATCACTAGATCCTCTGTTTCATTTCACTCCCATCAGTTATATAACTCAAGACTATTGACATTAAAATAAAATGTGTATTTTTCACTAAACACCATCAAGAATCTCACCCAGGCTCTGCAGTTTGCTCTGTGGATGAGTAAAGTTTTCTTTTTCTTCATCTGCAGGAAGCAGAGTTGTGGAAACATAGTTAAGTATGAAAATGGCGGATGATGAAACAGAGCGCCGAGATTTGGGGATCAAAAACCTTTACTTGGTGGGACGGAAGTTGCCCTTTTGATCACCGGCGGCGGCGGAACTTTACGGACGGCTGACGGCGTCGATGGCACGGTTCTGTTGTGAAATTGACTTTCAACTCTGTTGTTATCACTACTCTGCTTCGCAAAGTCCATCTCTTTTACATCAATACTCTGCTTTTCCACTTCTTTATCCTCCTCCTCCTTATCCTCCTCTTCTTCATCCTCCTCGTGATCGCCACTCTCGACCTGCTCGTCTTCGGATACGACTATCTCCTTACAGACACTGAACTCCTTGACTTCCTCTGTGATTTGCGTCTTTTCGTCGACGGTCTCCTCTGCTTTTACTTGTGCATCCTCTGTTTTTACATGTACATCCTCTGTTTTCTTATTAGGTTTCTCGGAACCGTGAGCTGGTAAAGAATTCACCTTTCTCAGCGGAACTGGATCAAATTCACCGGGTTTGACGATCACCGTGCAAAGCTCCGATCGGGTCTTCTTAACCCGCCCCGGAGTAAAATCAGATCTCTCCTTCTTCTCCGCCACCGACACAGTCAAAGTCTTGTCATTCACGTCACTAGAGATCGATCTCCTCGGCGTCAACGGAGGAGTAGAACCAACGGACCTCCTCGGCGTCACAGGAGGAGTTGAACCAATCGATCTCAGCCTCGTGAGCTTCTTCTGCTTATTTGAGTTCTTCTCTTCTTTGGCAGCATGAAGAAGTATGGTCTTCTTGACGATGGCTTTATTACTAACAATTTCGTCGTCGTCACTCTGCATTTTCAAAACAGAGCCTGCAGCATCAACGGCTCCTCCAACGCCAATCTTTCTTCTTCTACTACTGATTCTTGGGTCCATACTATGTTGTTATGTCACTGTCCTACTGGTAAAATGAAATGAATTAGAGGGAGGTGTGTAATGATAATGAGCCTTGAAGCTGAAGGAAGGTTAGTGGACACCAAAGTCAGATAATTGAATTTCATCTACTGATGTGTGTGTAGAGAGAGAGAGAGAGAGTAGAGTAGAGGTTGTTAGATTAGATAGAGGAGGGGACCTGTCTTTGTCTCATGAAGCCTGTGAGACTGTAGATCACCAAATATGGTTTGACTACTGCTTTTAACTAACCCTAAAAAAGCCTTTGCATGTGGTAAGATGCCTGCTTAAAACACAATCATTAAGGTTTATCATCACAATCTCTACTTTTTTTTTTATCTTTTTATTGTTTTCCATCTTTATTTTTAACATTTTTTTCTTTCACTTCCTTATCATAAAGCTTACGTTATCAATGAATCAACAATGTGTCATGTAAACAAATGAATGGCTTCAAGTGAAAGGTTCTTTCTGTGTTCAGTTTCCATCATGAAAAATAGTAACGGTTTGGTTAATTTGGGAAGTTAGATGTAATGAAAAAAGAAAAGAAATTCAATTGCTTCATTTTTTTCTCTTTTTGTTAACTCACGAGATCAAAGTGAAAAGCTTATCTCCACATCACATTCATCATGAAAGTATTCACGTTTTGATTAATAGTACAGATGGCAATAGACCTAAATGAGCTTGGACTCAAGAAGTTCACTGAGTTTGAAGATAAGTCAAACTAAACCATTTTGTTTTAACAGAGGTTGAGTGTTACTTTGGGATGAGAATGAACAAATACATCCAATTTAACCTTTTGTAAATTATTATTGGGATAAAAGCACAAAATGCTGTAACCGGATCGGTGAATTAAGTACCCACCGACAACTTCTTCTGTGACGCAAATATCATAAACATAACCGGTAATTATATAGGCAGATAGATAGATTTTCAAGCAAACAAATGTAAATTTCAAGGCATATTAATAAATAAATACATATATAGTACGTTTATATTAAACTCTCGACTACCATTACATGCAATGCTTTAGGTGTGTTGGATAAACTACTCAACCTTTTATGTTTGTAACTAGAAACTACTCTAACCTAATATGAGTAAAAAAAACTAACACCTACAGTCTTTTACTAGAATTTACAGAACTACGTGCGTGCGCATGTGTCTAATCACACTAATTAGTTATTCAATTAAGTAATCACATAAGCAATAATCAAAATTAAAATTTGTGATAATTGAATCGGAAGTTGGATTGGTGGGATTGCTTAGACGGCACGTGGTCGAGTGGGAGAGCACGTGACTCGTGTCACGTATCCCCATACACCTGCCCTCATTGTTTTCTTTTGCCTCTCTTTTGTATTTTGCATGCACCTTCTCTCTCTCTCTTTTTACATTTTTGATAAAATACACTACATGGCGAATACGTTATACGTTTTTAAATTTGTTGTTAGCCCAACTACCGTGGCAACAATTCGTTGTAGCAAGCAATCATATCCATATTTTTATTAAAAATTGTTGCGATTGACATTTACCTAACCCCCCCCCCCCCAACATAGACACACAGTTATCATTGACTAGTTTTTAAATTGAAACAAGTAAGTGATAACGAAATCTTAAATAATGCGCATATCTTATGGGGATTAGATATTGAATTTCTCCCAATTCACACAATCTTAAAATATACAAACACAAACGTACTTTGGAGTCTTCACCGACTCGGGATCCTTTTACACTTGTTTACCATTACCATTTACAACGGTATCTGATATTATATTAACTTTTTTAGTTTATCTCTTTCCCATGCAAATCCTCTCTTTAACTTTTTTTCCCTTCAGCTTTTAAGCCTAATTTAATAATATATTTTTAAAAAGATTTCAGATTTCTATAATAAACAAAACAAAGTGATCAGATTTCTACAGAAAATTACTTCTTTATTGATTAGTTTTACCAATGCTCAACTTGTGTCTTCTGAATAATATATTCTTCTGGTGCCCAAAAAAAAAAGAATAATATATTCTTCTTAGTTTCAAAAGTATTTAGAAAAGAAAAACAAATTGGGCTTACTCACCAAAAGGCCCAATTCGAAGCAAATTCTAAATTTCATATAAATGGGCTTTTCAGTTAGGTTAACGCTGTATAATATTGTTCGTTTCCCGGGTAATAATCCGGCGCGGTCAAGACCACCTTAACTCAAAGACAGCTCTTGTTCTTGTAATGAAAAGAAAAGAAAAAAACAAAAAAAAAACAAGTGGGTGAGTAATGTCGAGATGGGTGTTTCCTAGGGTTTAATAGTGCGTTGCAGCTGCCACTCTCTTTCTCTTTCGAAGATAGCCGTAAAAGCTCTCTTCTTTCTTTCTCTCTTCACACAACTTTTCCTCCCGACGAATCTCTAAACCGTGTCTTTTTCTTAACACGGATTGCTGATTTCTCTTGTAAAGGGACGCTGTGACGGATTGGGATCCGCCGAGTAACAACGGATCTTACGCCGTTTCGTCCTCTTCTAGAAATATCGACTTTTATCCCGAGAGGAAACCCTTCAACGGCTTCTCTAATCGTGGTTCCGATTTCAAGATGGAGACTTTGAATCCCTGCTCCGCTAACAAGCGACGGTTCTCTTCTCCGTCATCTAAAAGGTCTGATGGGTCTGATCATGCGTTGGATCTGGAGCTTACTTTTAGCAGAACCATCCGCAAAATCGTGAGTCCTCTCTTTCTTTCGGGTTTGTGTTGTTGGCAGAGAAAGGTATTTCCTTTGTTGATATCTTGTAATGGTGACTGTGTAGGGTGCGGGTTTGGAGAATCTCGGGAATACATGTTTTCTTAATTCTGTAGTGCAGTGTTTGACTTACACCGAGCCCTTAGCTGCTTACCTGCAAGATGTTGGCCATGAGAAACGCTGTAAGTTGCTGCTTTTAGATGCTTGTAATGCTAAGAGATGGTTTGATTCTTTGCCTGATGTTTTATGAGATTATTGATTAGGCGGGCGCCTAGACCGACTTTTTGAGTGCTTAGACAAGATATTTTTTTTTCTAAGATATGGAAAATTTTGTGTAATGTAGGTGCGATTAGCCGCTTTGACCGATTTTTAGAACACTGGTTTCTGATACAATGTTTTGTTGTAGGCCATGTGGCGGGGTTTTGTGCATTATGTGCGATGCAGAAGCATGTCAGGCTTGCACTTCAAGCTAGTGGCAGAATAGTAGCACCTAAATATTTGGTCTCCAACTTGCGATGTATGCTTCTCAGACCCTTGTCTGCTTCCACTATTAGTGTGCCAATCTCGGCTTTATACTAATGAGGATTCTCAACTCTGCTTAAAAATTAGGCGTATCACGAAACTTCAGAAATTGTCGGCAGGAAGATGCACATGAATACATGATCAACTTGCTGGAATGCATGCACAGGTGTTGTCTGCCTACTGGTGTACCAACTGAATCCTCTGATGCTTACCGCAGCAGCTTGGTTCACAAAATTTTTGGTGGTAGCCTCCGTAGTCAGGTAAAGACCTTTGTGACATGATTAAATGGCCACAGACTCAGTCTTCTTTAATATTTTATATTTATTTTTCAGGTGAAATGCGCGCAATGTTCACATTGCTCTGACAAGTTTGATCCATTTCTTGACCTGAGTCTAGACATTTCCAAGGCAGATTCATTACAGAGAGCTCTTTCACGTTTCACTGCTGCTGAGCTCTTAGATGATGGTGCAAAGATTTACCACTGCGAAAGATGCAAACAGAAAGTTAAGGCTGTAAAACAGCTTACTGTTTCTAAAGCACCATATGTTCTAACTGTACATCTCAAACGGTTTGAAGCACATCGATCCGGGAAAATCGACAAGAAAGTTGAGTTTGCCTCTGCAATTGACATGAAACCTTTTGTCAGTGGTCCCTATGTAAGTAGACTTCGTCTTGTGCCTCTTGGAGCTGTTTAGATAATCTGGTTCATTTCATGCTTTCTTTTATAACAATACAAGTACTTGTGTTGAACAGGCAGGTGATTTGAAGTACACTCTGTATGGTGTTTTAGTTCATTATGGTCGGAGTAGCCATTCTGGTCACTACGCCTGCTTTGTTCGCACTTCAAGTGGCATGTGGTATTCCCTTGATGACAACAGGGTAAGCAGCGATGTTCTAACCTATTGTAGGAGTTTATCTGTACATAGTTCTTTGTTGACGTGGGTAGTAGTAAGTTCATCTTTACATTGTTGCTGCTAGGTTATTCAAGTAAGTGAGAAGACTGTGTTCAATCAGAAGGCGTATATGCTATTTTATGTTCGTGATAGACAAACTCCATCCCCAAAGAAGACAGTTGCCGTGGTTAAAAAAGAGACTTCTAAAGAGAGCATTGCCACAAACAGATCTTCTTTGAATATATTTTCTAAGAGTAATGATCAAGTGGATGGCTCAGCAGCAGTCATGAAAGCATCAAGTTCAAACGCTCTTGTTGCCAATGGTACAGTACCACCCATGAGATCAGGTGCTCCTGCTGTCTTGGCCCAAAAAGACTTGAATGGTCAGAAAGATCCCCCAAGCAGTATAGAGGCAAAAGAGATTCTCAAGAGGGAAAATGGTACAGATCGAGGTGCCCCTACTGCCTTAGCCCAAAAGAATTTAAACGCCAAAGATACTCAAAACGAACTTGCTAGCAGTGTGGAGGCAAAAGAGATCCTTAAGAGGGCAAATGGCTCGGTACCCCTGAGATCATGTGCTCCTGCTGTCTTGACCCAAAAGGACTTGAATGCCAAAGAGACTCAGAAAGATCCCCCAAGCAGTGTAGATGCTGCAAAAGAGATCTTTAAGAGGGAAAATGGCTCAACACCCTTGAAACCATGTGATATACGTGCTCCAGCTGTCTTAACACAGAAAGATTTAAATACCAAAGAGATCCTTCGGAAGGAAGTGCCACTTCCAGAGAAACCGGCCACTTCCATTGAGTCAGTGAAAGCAAGTTGTGATGAGGGGACTCTCAGCACACCAAGAAAGACACGCAAGGGTAACATGAAAACCCTGCAGGTGGTGGGGTTAAAATCTTTTAAGCTGACCTTGTTGGGCGTACGTAAAAAGAAGAAACAGAAAAAGGGAAGATCAAGTACCACCTTAGCTGTTAAGCTCAAGAAGGATAAGAGAGTCAATCACCGTAATGGGAACATGTTGCAGCTTGGCTCTCCTCCAGCCGTAGAGCTCAAGGAGAGAAGAAGTAATCAAAATGGTGCCATTCTTGCGTCAGACCAACAGCAACCGTTGAGGAGTTCTGAAGGAAGCCAAAACGCCAAAAGAAAGAGAGGAGAGCTCTCAAAAGAAGAACAGGTGACGACCATTCTCACACGGGGTTTGCCAGAGACAATGGGTAAGTTTTCCATTTTCTCAACTTATAATAATTGCTATATCCAGTTGGGAGATAACACTATCATTCTCCAACTGCTCGCACCAATCAAGCAGCAAGAGCTTAGTTTTGTGTGATTTGTGTGTTTGATGGGATTATTAAGTCTCTTAATTAACTCTGTTGCAGTTTCCAAATTGGATGAGGAAGTAGTTTCAGTTTCTAAGATGAGAAAGAGTGAAGAGGACTCAATAATCGGATATGTAGCAGATGAGAGGTGAGCTTGAGACTTGGGTTTTATTCTTTTATATTATTGCACAGTTGGATTACATGGTAAAAATGGTATTGGATTGTGGCAGGGATGAAGAATATGATAGAGGAAAGAAAAAGAAGATAATGATGAAAGAGGAGAGGTCAAACACATTCCAGTTGATTGCATCAAAGAAACAACAAACAGAAACAAAGAAGAAATGGATGAATACTGCAAAGACAGGCTTCCGGATATGATAAATAAGGGAGACCAATAGATCATCTATCCATAAACCTATAAAGAAAGAAATTGTAATCCACTTTGTTGCTTGCTTGTATTTGCGTTGAGAGTAGTAATGTTAACAACAGAGGAATAGAGAGAGAGAGAGGCTATAGATACACACTAGACGTTGTTGTGATCACTTTTCTTCTCAGTTTTGTTCTGTTTGTGATAAACAAACACCTCTTTGATCTCCTCCTCTTGTAATCAACGATATTCCCGTGAGATAATATTGTAGCATTTTACATTATAAGACCCAGTATATGCGGGCGAAGCAGATCTTCTATCTGGTACAGAGAAAAAGTATCTTTCAAGCTTTCTCAGTGACTCTTGTGTGTGAGTTATGGACTGAACTCTAGGAGCAAAACACAAAGCAAAAAATAGAATAAAAACGGCAAGCATTTCATTCAAGGATTGAGAAAACGTCACGTAGTTGAAGACGTGGATATAAAAACACACTCATCTCCCTCCACCACAACTATCTTCGATGTTCACTGAGTTCAATATTATCCAAACCAAAAATGAGTTCGTTTTTGTTTCCTTCTTCTTCTCCGTTTCCCAAATCTCATTGGCGCGCGAACTCAATCCCTAGACCAAATCGCCCGACTACACTCTCTCTTCTCCATGGAAACTCATATTCATGGAGATTATCATGTAAACTTAGTCTCGATTTCGAGGAAAGCGTGGAGGAAGATGAAATCATCCCTCAGCTTCTCGATTTCTCTGCCGAGGAGGAGGAGCCAAGTCTCGAGGAAGAGACGGTTTCTGCTCCAACTACGACGCTGATGCAAAGGAAGAAGAAGAGAGGAGATGAAGAGAGCTTAGAAGATAGATTCAAGCTCAGAAATGGAAAGGAGGTTTGTTTGTATTACCTTTTTATTATATTTTCAGTTTCTATTTTTCAGTATTAAAAGAAATTATTTTTAAATTTTGTAGGTTTTTGAGGAGAAGGCGTATCTAGTGGGGGTTGAAAGAAAGGGTGATGGAGAATGTTTGTTTGATATAGAGGAGTCTCTAGAGGAGTTAGAGCAGCTTGCTGATACTGCTGGTCTTATGGTCGTTGGTTCTACCTATCAAAAGTTAGTTAGTTAGTAGCTCTCTTATGTATTGGTGAGAATAGGATTTTAGGTCCCTTTGTGTAGTGTTGCTAATGTCAATGATGGTGGTATATAACAGGCTAGCTTCCCCAAATCCTAGAACTTACATTGGATCCGGAAAGGTCTCAGAGATTAAAAGCGCTATTAATGCACTGGACGTTGAGACTGTTATCTTTGACGATGAACTTTCACCAGGGTAACCTTTCTCTATCATTTTTCTTCTTACTGGAAACTGTCATTCACAAAACTGCAAGCTATTCTGTATTCTTTCACAAATCTGTTGCTTGTCTTTGCCATTCAGTTGATTACTGTTTATTTAAGTGGTCATTGGATTGTGTCATATGTAGGAATTTCATAGACTTTTTTTGTTTCCACTCTAGTTTGCATCATACATGTGAATTGTGTGTGTGTGTGTGTGTGTGTGTGTGTGTTTCATTTTCTTATTACTTCATATTTTAAATGTTCAGGCAATTGCGTAACCTGGAAAAGGCCTTTGGTGGGGATGTTCGAGTTTGTGACCGTACCGCACTTATCTTGGATATTTTCAACCAAAGAGCCGCAACTCATGAAGCAGCCTTGCAGGTAAAATAAAGCTTACGAATAGATTGTGAAAACTTTTAGTTATGCTTTTTCAGGAACCCGTGTGCTCATATATGGAAAGGTTTGCAGGTTGCTCTAGCACAGATGGAGTACCAGTTACCACGGTTGACTAGAATGTGGACTCATCTTGAGCGTCAATCAGGTGGCCAAGTTAAGGGTATGGGAGAAAAACAAATTGAAGTTGATAAGCGTATCTTGCGTACTCAAGTAAGTAAAATATCTTTATATATTTCTGCAGTTTTAAGCCTCTTTTGCGTCTGCTCGTTTTTACAGTTTGTGACTATATTTTTGCTGAGCAGTTTCTTAGGCTCTGTGTCTTTGTTTAGGTTTTTCTCCATGGTCCATTAAGATGGGAGTTTATTGTAAATGTTTTGATATTGAATTGCTTAGATTGGAGTTCTCAAAAAAGAGTTGGAATCTGTTAGAAAGCATAGAAAGCAGTATAGAACCCGGCGTGTTGCTATACCTGTTCCTGTTGTATCTTTGGTAAGTACAGCACAGAATTTTGAAACTCGTAGGAAATTTATCAACACTTCATTTCATATGTGAATGTTTTATTCTCATTTTGTATTAGGTTGGTTACACAAACGCTGGAAAGAGTACACTTTTGAACCAATTGACTGGTGCTAATGTTCTCGCTGAAAATCGTTTGTTTGCGACCCTTGATCCAACTACGAGAAGGGTTCAGGTCAGTGAAAGAATTTTGTTAGAAGAGCAGAGCAGTCCCTTCTTCAGGGAACAATTGTTTATTTTGTTATATGTTACTACGTAAGTCATATGTTCCAAATAGTCAGATTACATTAGCAGATAACGGGTATTCTGTGACGCGTTTAATGTATATTGGGCAAGCTGCACTGCCCAAACATCTTGAGATTTTTCTTTCAACTAAATTTTATGTCCATCTGAAGTTATTGACTTGCGATAACATGGAAATTGGTATTTGATTTGACTTAGATTTCTTCTCTGTGTTCTTGTTGGTCAGATGCACAACGGGAAGGAGTTTCTTCTCACAGATACTGTTGGTTTTATTCAAAAGTTACCAACCACCTTGGTAAGTTCCTAATGGCTATTTCAACTAGATCTTACCTGGATATCTTTGCATGTGCTTTCATATAACATACCATAAGTGTCTGTTAGAATCAAACTGAAGAAGGCTTTTTGGGTCTGCTGTGTTGTGTCAATGCGGTGTGAACTTTACTGGAAAGTGTTTCTTGCAGGTTGCTGCTTTCAGGGCAACACTCGAAGAGATATCAGAGTCATCCCTTTTGGTGCAAGTTGTTGACATCAGGTTTGGTATTTTCATATCCTAGTTTAAATTTTGCCGATCATCCACAAGACAACACAATTCACCTCCTAATGATAATATGCCTGTAAAATGTTAGCCACCCGCTGGCAAATCAACAAATAGAAGCTGTAGAAAAAGTCATGTCTGAACTCGATGTTTCATCAATCCCAAAATTGGTTGTGTGGAATAAGGTAATGTAAGACGCCAACATGATTGTATTCTTCTATTCAGTCTCTTGCATTTATGTACATGATGGAAACACCTATAATACTCTGTACGCCTCGATTAGGTTGATAGAGTGGATGATCCTCAAAAGATCAAGCAGGAAGCAGAGGAACATGGGGATGTAATTTGTATATCTGCTCTGACTGGAGAAGGGCTAGACAAATTCTGCAATGCTGTTCATGAGAAGCTCAAGGTTTCAATTTCATCAAAAATTCTCTGGTTGTTTTGTGATTGTGTCCCATTGGAAATTTTAGTCATTGGAAAAAACCTGTTACAGGATTCAATGGTTTGGGTTGAAGCCCTTTTGCCATTTGATAAAGGGGACCTTCTAAGCACCATACACAAGGTTGGAATGGTGAAAGAAGCTGTGAGTAGATGACCCTACCATCTTTCTTGTTTTTTTTTATATTTGGTATTAGATTACCCAAAATGATTCTCATGTCTTTGTGTTTTGTTGCATATATAGGTATACACAGAGAACGGGACGCTTATCAGGGCACACGTTCCCCTTCGTTTTGCACAACTGCTTAAACCTATGAGACACTTGGTCAAAGATGCGTCCATAAGAACCTGAAGGCCTGTCTTTTCTTCGGAATTGTAGTAGACCACATATGGTTGGCCAAAAGAACCAGAAAGCACAACAAGTTCTAACAACACCCTGAACATAAACCATAAAGAGACAGTAAGGAATATTCATCAATAAAAAAGAATGTGGATATACACTTGTGTAACACAAGCGGTATAAGCTTGAACCTTACTTGACATCGTGAACGGGTACCACCCTTTTGTTGTACAGAGAGCATATCAACACTTACAATGACTCAGAAAAAAAAAATTCCATCCAACGGCTATGCTGCCGGCTTGGTTTCTAGATTATATTATCCACACCAAAACAGTTTACACAACAGCACAAAGCAGCTATAAAGCCATGAGATCATTTCTACCTATAATTATAAACAAGCAGGTCTACTACAAGCTGCTCAATCATCTTCCGCAGTGAAATCAGGCTCAGGAGGCTTCTGCAGCTTTACCAATTCCCTAATCCTTGTGTTCCGGTTCCTGTGTACGGTGCGCATAGCACTAGCCGCAAACTTCGTGACAAGAAATGCAGCCCCCATAGAGGATGAAGTTCCACTGGTTGAGATGGGCAACGCTTCAGCCTCTGCCTCTTCCATCTTCTTCCTCTTGCAGTATCTTCGCCACGCAGCTTGGATAAAGCAAGCAGCCCAAGTCCTCCATTGGTGAGAGTAAAACCTGAATGTGTGTTGCACTTGCCTGCTATGTAGACGCCTGAACTGGCTTGCTACAAACTTCAGTTCCTCTGAGGTCAGCGCAAACGCCTCTACTTCTCTCAGAGCCTTCACGGTTCTCGTGGAAGACGGGAGGTTCACACCTGATTTTGGGTCCAGTGCCCATGTCAGAAGCTCTTCACCGCAGAAATCTCCTTCTTTCAGGAGACTGTAGTTGAAGAAACCGCTCCTGCCTCCATCCGTTGTCACACTCTCGAGCCGGCCGCGTATTATGAACAGCATCTCGTCTACAGGGTCTCCTTCTCGGACCAAGTAGGTACTCTCTGTGAACAAGCATGGTTTTAGCCGCATGCAGATCGCATCTAGCAGCTTGTCATCCATGCTCTCAAACAATGGAACCTAAATATTATGGTGATAATGCCATTAATAAGTAGTAAGCTGTGATCTTAAAAAGTTTGAATAGATAAGAGTGGGAAGGTCTTACCCTGCGCACTAAAGCAAGACAAAGATGGCGCTTGATGTCTCTGCGTAGATCCTTGGGGAGATTCTGGACGAGATACTCTTCATCTACACCACGTGTCTCCAGCCATTTATACTGGTCATAACGTCTCACACGCTGCCTAAGATCTTGTGGTAACATCCTGTGATGCATCCATTGCTCTGAATCACGCCTCTTCACTCTCATTTCTTCCAGCCGGATGGTTAGAGATTGGAGATATGTCTGTCCCAAAGATTTCATATGGTGTTAGAAGACAGTCCTTACAAAAAAAAAATGTCTATTGATCATTATGCGTAAAGCTAAAGTCAACACCTGCATGTTTCCGATGAGGAGAGCAAAGAGAATTAAGCCAGAAATGGCCAGAGTGATGGAAAACATAATCTCCAATGGGTATGTACTGGTTTCAAGCCCTTGTCCAAGTGTACTGTTGTGTGCAACCAATGAAAGAAAATAAAGAATGTATTTTATATGAAACTCAAAGATCTGTTAATAGGAGGAGCTGAACTGAAAGGTTACCTCAAGTTCTGAAGGCCCCACCACAAACAATAACAATATTTTGTGATGAACTTTTGAGATGAGACAATGCCAGATGATAAAGCCTGTGTGTAAATCCCAAAGTCAAATGGAGGGTTAGGATCATCGAGGTCAGCGCGACACTTGGACTCAAGAACAGATTCTTTGGTCTTGTTCCAAACATCATAGCCCTCCATGTTTTGATTCCCACAGTACAAGAAACCTGTTGTGCAATTATTCCTTCCTGCATCGTTACATGCCTCTTGCCAACATGCGTCGTTACGTTCTAACGCTAATAGGTACCAAAACGCTCCAACTATCTGCAACACAAGCAACAAGTAATCTCTTGAGCTCGAAACCACATCATGTAATATTAGTTTTGTCCCAGCCATCACTTGAACTGGAGACCTCTAACACTGTGGCTTGAGGTAACAACCTCTAGTACCGAACAGTACACAAATGTAAGCATTAAACCAAAAGAAATGTAAGCAAAAACTTGGCACTTACATGACTTGCAAGCATATATAACAGCAGATAATAGGCAGCACCAGCCCAAGCAGTTTCTGCAAAGACACCTGCTGTTCTTTTCAGTTCTGATGTCAAGGGTAAGATACGAAGAAACCGCGGTATATACTGAACCAAAACAATGAAAAGCAAAGCCTGCTTTGTAGGCAATACATCTGATCCCCTTGAACTTTGCAAGAACCTCCACACTACAATCTGCACACAATACACAAAACTGAATCAAATGCATCATTTAAACAAAACCATCATGCACAGAGCTTAAAGTTACATAACCAAACCTGGGGGACAGGAAGTACAGAGAGAAAATCAATGATAAACCACCGTTGCAAATATCTCTTTGCTATCTGAGCAGGATCTATCACAAGCTCACCACGCCCAAAGACCCTGGACGAGGGTGCAATATAAGCAGTCCTAAACTGGAGAGCCATGTGAGCGAGATAAAACACATCGATGAAAGTCCTAAACGTAGTTGCTGTGATAGCAAGTTTCCGGTCAATACCGAGACACTTGGACTCACCATCGATCACAGGAAGATAGAAGAAAAAAGGGTCCACAAACACCGAGAGAATACATGACATAACAAACAGTTTATTACAAAACAAGAGTGTTTTGTCCTGAGGATCAAATATCTTCTTTTCAGATACTTTAAGGTCTTCTGGAAACACAGCTCTATAAACACCGAAACCAAGTGAACGACCTATGGATTTAAGCCCTTTGGAACCATTTTGGAGACGTTTCTTGAAGGATCCAGATGTGTTATTGCTCCCATGGATAGGATGAAGTGGTCCACTGATACTGGAGGTGTAGTTATGTTGGCGGGATACAGATGATGAAGAGGGTAACTTAAAGTCCAAATCATCCACCCTACTAAGTATGAGACCAAGAAAGAGCTTTCAGATTACTATAGCACCAACAAACAAGGAGTCATCTAATAAACCAAAAGGATTGCACTAACCTCACAAAGTTTTGTGGTTTGCCTGCCATGATTGCTAGTTAACAATCACTTTCTCTACTGATAAAGAGAGAAAACACAGCTTAGTATACTGTATTCATGAGAGCAAGACTACATCATCCAGACATAAAAACAAGTATTATTCTTTTTCAATAAATACAATATGCCAAGTTTCAATTTTGATATATATTATGCTGGTTCAAGATTCACTTAAATTCTCTCACCAGAAAATGTTTAGCTTAGCTAGTGAACCAGAAAAAATCATCTGAGGAATTAATATAATTGACAAATTAAGAAACATAAATCGGACATGAGCCTAAGAACAGTTATAGGAACAGGACAGAAGTGAACTTGCTTAAAGAAGAGAGAAGACAGTTACTTACTTAAAGCTAATCCATGGCTTTAGACGATTTCAAACGTGACGATGATGATGACGATAAAGCTTTGCAGTTTGAGGAAAAAAGCTAAGAACAAGAAGACACGAAAGTGGGTGTAAAGCGAAGAGCAGACCAGACAAGTGGTACTTGCCTTTACCCAAAAAAAAACTAAAAGCAATGGAGAATAATGAGAAATGACGTTTTCACCCTTGATTGTTTTAAAAACTAGATCTCCCTTTTAAAAAGTCTCAAAAGCAAATGTTGTTTTCAGACACAAGATGAGACACATCGTCACATTAGTCAACTAGTTACACTGGTTGGATTTAAAATATGGATTTTCTATGTAACAAACATATATATATGAAAAAGATTCAGTGATTCAATAATTCTTAAATTAGATTGTGGTAATAACAGAGACGCAGTAATCCCTATAAACATCAAAATCAAACGACCATTTCAGCTTCTTTAACACTCGAAGGGATTCCAACCTCCAGTCTCATAGTAGCTCTATACTGTTCAGGCACTTCAGCACCAGCCTGCGCACATATCTCCACAACAGCAGGTGCTTGCCCGTAAAAGCTTCTTAGCTCCCTCTGCATTGGCGGCCCATTCACATCAGGAACATGCCAAACGTATCTCGGTGGTATCAAATCGTCAAGCACAGCAGATTGCCAACCATGCTGACCATTCCTCTGTTGGTGCTTGAACGCGCCGCAGTTCTGAGCCTTGTGTCCCGTTGGACCTACGTAGACCTCTGGACAGTACCCGCAGACTCTAACTCTGTACATCCTCATCAGCTTTTTGGCTCCTCCTCTCATCTCTTCCCATGCTTGTAAAGTGTCTTCGGCTAGTGATACTGTTTCTTCTTCGCTAGAAGGTGGAGTGATCTCTGAGGCAGGTAACTCGGTTAACAATGGCTCTGGAGGAAGAAATGGTTCTGGATCAGGCAATTCAGTTTCATCTGCATCAACGAACTCGTTTTTGCCGATGCGGATTATTGGTTTTCTTCTCCTTTTTGTTGGGAACTCAGGGATCTCAACACCTCCCTGGATGCAGAGCTCAACTACAGCAGGGATTCTAGGAATGGTGAATCTCTCGTCGTGACGGATGCGCTTGCCAAGGCGGTCATAGAGATGATAAGCTTCTAGAGGAACAATAATGTCTTCAAGGACAGAGTTCGTCCACTCATGAAGACCTTTCCTTTGGGAAGCACTCGGACCTTTACATGACTTAAACGGATGCCCGTAAGGTCCAACGTGGATCTCATTGCACCACCTAAGAGACAAACATAACAACATCATCAAAGGTTCCATATAGGCATGGACACATTTATCCAGAGTCGAAAACAGAACCAAAAAACGAGGTTTGGTTCGGGTTTGGATCCTATCAATTATCCGAGCACATCCTGTATTTCTAGAACCGAAAAAACAAAACAGGAACTAAACCGAGAATCCAATGGATAATATAGTTTATATACTTTTAAATATTATTTACAAGTTAAAATACAAAGAAAAAAATGAATTACCACGTCTTAAATATTTAAAAGTATCCAAATTTTTATCCAAAAACCAGAAAACTCTAATATTTAATTTGAAAAGTCCCATTTTTGTTTTGACATTTAATCCGAATGAACTGAAAATCGAACAGAATAGGATCCGAAATTACTCTGGATACTAGCCGGTTCCTAACTTTGTTACCGGAACCGAAATAACCAAACCAAATTTTCTAAATACCCAAACGAGTCTTTAACCTCTAAAACCAAAGAACCAGAGCCAAATCGAGAACCAAATGCCAAGTCTCAACAATCAAACAGAACCGAACTTGAAACAAAAGAAGGGGAAGAAGAAGAATGAGGAATAATTATTACCCACAAGCATTAACACGAACAACTTTCATGAGCCGATGGAGATTGTTGATCAATCTGATCCTGGCATTGTACACTTTATAAGCAAGAGGGACAAGGCTCTTGACGACCATACCGTTTTTAGGAGGAGGGAGAGGTCTCTTAGGTTTGTCTTTATTGTTCTTAACTCTCTCCCTCGCTGCACGTCTCAAGTCCACAATAGGCACAGGAAATGGTTTCTTCTCTCTCTTGGAGTACTGCTTAGGTGCGTCTGCGTTCTGAGGATGATGATCACTTCTCACAACAACAAAAGGAAGAGCTTTACACCATTTACTTAGCACAAGTCTAGAATCTAACTGAAGCCTATTACTTCCCTGCATCAATAATATCAATACACAGTTTTAGGTCTTATGGTGTTAGGGAAGATGCAAAAACCAAATGAAGCTGACCTGAAGAGAAGCTGAGAATCCGAAAGAAGAGTTGGGATTGAGAAACTGGTTCATGGGTATGCGAAAAGTTACAGTTTTAGGTGAAAACGTAGAAAGGGTACCAGCATCTGCCCCTGGGAAAAAAACAAGACCAAACTCAATTACAATCCGACAATGAAGGGACAAATAATATTATTGAGTATTGAGGACGGTTCTAGAAGCAAAACAAAGAAGAAAACTTACAGGAAAGAGTAGAGTACGTAATCGACATCTTTGTCGACGACTGATGGATTAAAGCATCGGAGGAGGATAAGATGAGAGTGGTGTCGTGGTATCGGTGTGTCTGAGACGAGGAAGATAGCTAAGAAGCATGGACAAAGATAAAGCCTAAAATAATGGGCTTTTAATGGGCAGAGTCGTTGTCTCGTTAAGGCCCATTTTGATTATGAACCTTCAGCTGTGTAATCGAACCGGGTTTAAGAAATAAACCATTTAACCGAAAGTTATCCATTAACTTACCATAAAGAAATGTTGCGTTTCACCCTCTAATCTCCATCATGCATTAAACACATACTGGAATCATCCGTGTCAAATGACAAAAAGTTATTACCTTTGGGATATTAAAGGCTATTTATGGGCTGATATTTAAAAACCTAGTAAATGGAATGCATGTGACTAGGAGTGAATACAAAATTTGGAGGTTTGCTCCAAAAAAAAAAAAAAAAATTTTGGAGGAAAATAAAAACAAAAACCCAGCACCAGTGTCCAAAAATCAAGGCAGTGTTTTTGCGTAATCTAATTATGTTTTTTTTTTCTCTTTCACCATCGAACTTGTTCTTGATTTATCTCAACTTCTAGTCTCTTTTTCAATGGACCCAGTTTGAATGGTTAATATTTTACAGACGACAATGGAACACAAGAAGAAACAAAGAGAGAGAGACACAAAGAGGTTTCTTTAAGACTTCTCCAACTAAAGAAAAGGTGCTACTGTTGATAAAAAAAAAATTAAAAAGCAAGAAATTGCTTTTCACTTGACCCAACACCACAATTTAGTGCACAAGTCATTTCCTACACTGCTGCACAAGTCTGTCTGCTTCCATATTCATCACTTCTGTCTCAACCCATCAAAAAAAAAGTCAGTTTTTGCTTTTATTTTATTTCCTTTTCTTTTTTTTTTCATTCTTCACAGCAACACCAACAACAGCAACATGATGTGTCCTCCTTTTCTGCTTCTTTGTCCTTCTCTGACTTCTTCGTCTCATCTTGCTATTAGAATACTACACGAAACCCATAGTAACCTTCCTCCTCTGTCTTATCTCTCTTCCTCCCATTACTTTTTTCAACACCTTTCTCTTCATCACTTCTCCTTCTTTCCTTCCTTGATTCTGTAAGTACACATCTTGTGTTCTTCTGATGAATCCAGACTTCACTCCTTCCAACACTTATCCATTTGCGGATCCGAAAGTCAGATTCAGGCACCATAGTCTTATGCAAGACTATCAAGAACTGCATATGGTACCAACTCTTTTTTTTTTTCTCTTGAGTTTATAAAAAAAGTTTCAGTTTATGGGTCTGGTGTATTTGTTTCTGGATCTAAAAAAGGCAATTTTATTTATAGGACTTACTCAAGATTTTCTTGTTTTTACCCTGATCTGTTCTTACTACTCAAAAAAACATAAGTTTTTTTTTGTTTTAAAGAGAAAGACTGATACTTTGAGCTTAGCTGATTCCTTAACAAACATAAAGCCTCTTGCTTTATCTGTCATATGTGTGGTTATGCAAATCTATAGAGTCAACTTCTCTATATTAGCCTTAAACTTCATGTGTCTGCATTAGTGATCTCATTTCTTACAAAAATCACTTTGGTTCTTGCTAACGCGTGGTGCTGTTTTGTTTGGATTACACAAAGGATACTGAAGCAATGAGAAAGAAGTTGCAAACCATGCAAGAGAGAAAGGCAACACTAATGGCCGAAGTCCGGTACGTAGACTCACACAATCCTTGACAATATATTATGAATCCTTGATGTTTCTTTCTCAAGTGTTTGTCTGTTTTATTCAGATTTCTGCGGCGGAGGTACAGACATTTGAGACAAGAGTCCCAGCCTGTTATGCAGTCACAGGATGTTAAGAAGAAGGGGACAGGAAGATCATCAAAGAAGATTAAAACGCAGTCAACCCGAGTGGAAGTGTTGTCTCCTAAGCATGTTTCACTTCCAGACTTAAACCACTTTCATGACGAAACCAAAACCAAAAAAGTTCCATTGTTCGACCTAAACCGAATATCTGTAAGCATGCGGACCAAAGAAACACCAACAGGTCTCTTTACTCTTTGAAAACCCGTTGAAGTTAACTAACCAACTATTAAATTGGATTACAGGGAGAAGAAGAAGAGGAAGAAATGAACAATAATAGTGAAGAGGTAATAAGAGTGGAAGAGAGCAGTTCATCATGTAAGAGAATGAGCAGCTCGGAGATACAACAGCAGCAGAAAGAGATGAAGTTATCGTCTTCTTGCAGAAATGGAGGAAAGAGTTCTTCACATAAGAGGAAAATATCATGGCAAGATCCTGTTGCAGCTCTTAGAGTCTAAAAGAGATCATCATCAATGTCAAGTATCTTGTAACATAGCTCTCACACATCAATTTAGTCTATCTTCTCCGTTGAAAACATATCATATTTGTCTTGAAGTGGCGACTTATACTAGTGAGACATTTGTATCCTGAACATGTGTCCTTACACGAGTAAACAAAACCTACGGAAGTGATCTAAAAGTTCAGGATCAAGATCTACAACTGTCAGAAAGTGTTCACACGTGTACGAAGTGAGACATTTCGTGTAAACTTTAAATTCATTACGGAACACAAATACATGATCTTGTTTTCTGAAACGTAACAAGAATAAAGATAGAAAAAAAAAAGAGCAAAAAAACTTTATGGTTCTGATTTGCTCCAGAGATATTTATGTTCTGTAATAAAACAAGAGTTTATAGTTCTGAACTGGTTGTTACTACATAACAACCAAAACGGTTATGTTATATGAGTTAAAAAGTACCATGTGCACAAGGAAATTGGTCAAGCATTTATTTTGGTTTCACAAACTTGGAAAAGACCAAACAATAGATAGAGCTCACAATCTTCATGTTGTAATAGAACTCTTTAACTTATATGAGAGAATACAGAGAGTTCTTCTAGTTGACATTATTACTATCTGACTAGTGACTACAGCAATTCTTGTAGGGAAAGTAAAAAAGGAAAACCACTTTTGACAGTAGAAACAAAAAAACAACTTAGAAAAGAAGAGAGAGCAGGAAAGCAGTGATATAAAAGGAGCCTGACAAAAGTGTTTTTGCAGAAGCTGATGTTGTGGTTCGAGACCTTCTGTATCCTCCTCCTCCCCTTTTCTTTATAAAAACTCCAAGCTTCCTCGTTACACTAGCTTCTTCATCCTCGTGGCCTGAACACAAAAGAAAGGACTGAGACAAGAACAGGAGCAAGATGATTGATAGGATTACTAAGCGTTTGACATCAGCCATGCTCTAAGATAAGAGACGGTTTTGGCCCTCTGCTGTGATTATAACGAAGAAGACGGCTATAGTTGAATAAGATACGTCTTGTTAGATGGATATAGTTTATTAGCATTTGGTGGGATGATTGTGACATGAAATGATAATATAACATCAATAATGTCATGTGGAGCCTATCGCGGCCATAATTCAAAAGATTTTGACCCGCTGGAAAACAAAGCGAGCATCAGCCAAAGGTCAAAGCCGACCACGATATATATAATCACTAGGGAATAAACTATACCTAGCAACTTGCTTTCCACTCACTATGCTTCGATGAACTACGGGTAAAATAGGATATCAATATAAGGAAAAGGCTGTTATTGGTAGATGCTACTAACCTGGAAGGTAATCATTCTGGATAGGCTAAGAGTTTTTCCAAAATGGATGGCTCCACCTCCCGGAAAGACGTAACTTGACCAACTCGTATAGCTAATTCCCCTGTGACTCGGTCCATGTAAAGAAGATACAATCCGTTTCTATCTTCCAAAGCAGCTACTGCTTTCCTCGCATGGACTACTGATGCTATCCACTCCTCAAACAGAACTACAGATCAGACAACCAATCTCAGCATCATTTGTGATTCTCTCGGTAAGCTATAATTGTAGTGTCAGAAATGGAAATAAAATAGAAAATGGTATACAAAAAAGAGCAAAATACAATTGATACAATCTATCAGAGCCAGGTTTCGATCCTGGGACCTGTGGGTTATTCCGCTGCGCCACTCTGATTTGATGTTCAAGTATCATAAATAACACATTCATTTTGTTAATTTACCATTTTCAAATGTTTCACTCTCAGCCCAAGGTAGCAAATAGTCCGATATCAGGAACTCAATAAGCTGTATCCTACAGATTCATAAGACAACATAATCAATCTAAGCAGTCCCATGTTATCATAGAAACCCATTTGAAATACTTACAAGGTAAACAAGGACTCATCCATCTCTGGGAATGATTCATCAAACGGGTCCATGACCAGTAAGTTTTCTGCTAAAATGGATATTCTCTGAGAAACAGCAAATATTGCACGCTGTCCAATGTATGAATCACTTCCCAGTTTACGGATAAGATGTTGAGCATAATACCCGACACTTGTTTCCTGTTGCTTCACCTCTACTGCAGATTGTAAACGCACAAAAGCTAATATTATAAATGAAAACCAGAAAGAGAAACACAGTTAGAATCATAACTAAGCTGTTAGATTTTTACCATTTCCTTTAAAGGGAGTGCACATTCTTTCGATCAACTGTGTAATCATGGAACTGATAGATTCTTCAACAGATTCCAAGTTTCTCCCCAACGATATCAGCTTCGTCAGTGAAGCTTGAGCATGCCAACAAGAGCATATTAGTAAGAAGAGAACACGTTTGTTTCATACGTGCAAAGTAGCCTTCCAATAAAAGGAATATGACAGCTCAGAATATATAGATAATAAGTTAGCAATTCAGGACTTTGAATAATCATTACCTAATATGAAATCTACAGCCTGATGTGACCAATTGCTGAAACTAGAGGCCTGCAGAGATATAAGAAGCGAGTTCAATGTTAGGAAGCATGCAAAGAATGCACATTAGGAGAAGAAAAAAAAATCCTAACATTGGAGTCTGGTTCAGCCAGTTCCAGAAGAAAATCAATAGAAATCTTTAGATGCTCTGCTTCCTCTTCATATCCCGGTTCTGAAGTCAAAGTTTCAACACAATATTAAAAAAAAAAAAAAGAATGCTAGAAGATTAACAGGTGATGCTTGGTTATATACATTCTATTGTTCACTTCCTTCTCCCATAGAGAAATATTGATGCATAAATGAAACTGAAAGTGAGAGCCTAGGAAGTCCCTTAAACAAAACCTGAGAGCAGCAATCTTCGAGTTGATTTCCTTCTCCCCCTTGTCCTTGCTAAGGATCAAATGAAAACACAAATTGATAAGTTCACACCACACAAGCACAAAGGTATACATAATCTATGCAAACTACATAAGTATGTGGGATGATGGGGTGAAGAGACAGACCTAGTCTGAGAAATCTACGACGAAGAACATGGTTAAACCTCGGTTCAGAGGCCTCTCCAAACCGCCTCTCTCCCAAGTTATCAAAGAAATAACACTTGCAAGAAGCACTCGCTGGGAATAAGTCACAATGTGAACCACCTAAAATGCATTTAACAAAAATAAAAAATTAATCAGCTCCAGAAGAAACTGATCTAGCAGCCTTTCCATTTTGGGAAATCATTAAATACATAAAAAGCGAGTGGGTTGCTAAAGTTCAGACAGACAGAACATAATTACTGTCAGCATTCTTGAGATCTTCCTGGAGTCTGATTATCTCCTTCTTCCTCTCTTTAGCCTAAACTCAAAAATCAAAACCCACTCAATGTTAGAACACTAGAAACACACAAATCATGTAAGCCGTCCGAGATACCCAAAAGTGACCCAAAAATGGAAACCTAGTCCAATAAATTCCGTTAAACATGGTAGCAGATGTCACTAATTTAAACCTAAGTAAGAAAGAAACCTTGTGCTTCCAGCGGAGAGCATCAGTGTTGTCGGAGGTAGAATCACGACGGGAAGTAGAAGAAGAAGAAGAAGATCTACGGTTCTGGATCTTCGATCGTAGCAGAGAAACAGCGATCGCTAGTTTTAGCGACTCTTCCTTCTCCTTCTCCATCTGATTTGCTTCAGCAAAGCTCTTAACTCGATTTCGTTTCAAATTATAAAAAAAAAAATGTTTTAATTTCTCGGGATAATAAATAACCTTGCGCGGGAGAAAATTTTGTGTACTATACGGAGGAGAGAGGCCCAACATGGCCCATAAATTCAAGTGGATGTGTGTTATACGTAGTTTTCTTTTTCTGCTTAATATTGTTTTCCTTTTTAAAAGAAAAAATTCATATAAATCCACTCAAGTCTATTGTAAAACCCATTAGCAAAATTTTGTAAGATTGAAAAAACATGCTTGATTTAATACTTTTGATATTTATATTATAATCATATAATTAATAACACATGATTTTCATATGGATTGTAAATATCAGATAACTAATATCATCTCCGTTTCAACAACATTTTCTAGAAAAAAAAACACAATTACGTGTACAGTTAACCACATTACAACAAATAGAAAAATAGAATAGTAAATAAAATTAATAAATTTTACATGAAAATTATAAATGATACTTATTTTAAACGAAAATTTATTCTACAACACAACAAACAGAGAATAACACTGAATTTAATTTGGAGTTCTAAATCTATTAAAATATACAAATTAATAAACCTTCACGAAGCCTAACCATAATAGAAGAGTTCACAAATGATCAAACATTTCCAACACAATGTAAGGTATCTGAACCAACCAGTTTATAAGGGGTCTCAGGTCTGAACAACAATCAACTGAATAGTATCTCCGAGACCGTAAAACAGATATGCAAAGGTCAAAAAAGTAATAAAGAGAAGAATACAAAAAAAAAGGAGATGAACACATTCCCACATCAACACAAAGAAGAAGTGGGAATAATGTCATAATAAAAGAGCTTAATAAAGAAGAGCAAAACTCCCACAAGTTTTCTTGTTGGAAACTATCTTTGAGTTTCTGTCCTTCAAGCTTACAACACACAACATTCAAGCCTTTGGTTCCTTTACAGATTCCGACAAGCCTCGATGTCTGCAGCCTGTGAGGCCACAATGGACTTCCCCTGCTCGCTAGACTCCACAATGCGTACAGCTGCATCAATCACCGCCTTCTGGAACCTATCATCCTCCATCTTTCCAAGTACCTCTCTAACAAATTTGAAATCCACACCTCCAGCAACAATCAACTTCCCTACAATCTCACCAAAGTTGTTTGGTGCCTTGGGAAGATCGATTCCAATGTCGTCAAGCATAGCACCAAACAGCAAGCACCCAGTTTCAACATCCTTGGGTGTGACCACCTTCTTGGATAGCAAATACACCAAGAGACTAGCAATGGGGTCAACAACAGGTGGGCTTTTCTCAAGGCCTAGAGTGATTGCTTCCTTCACAAACTCTGCGTGGTATGAAGGCGACGCAAGCTCCTCCAAACACTGCATAGCTTCATCAAGAAGCCGCACATTGAAGTATTCTTCAAGAAGAGACTTTGTTTTCTTCTTGAGAACTTCCTCGCTCAACTTGGGAGCAGCAGCACTAGGCTGTGGCTTCTCTACCGGTGCAGCTCGCTGAACCGGTTGTTCTGCTGGACGTGGGCGTGAGCTACTGCCCTGTAACAAAGCGCTTGTCTTACCACTCATGAACCCGCTGCTTCCTTGAGGTAAGAGCCTCGTGTTCATGGAGGTGGACTTGTTCATCGCTGGAGAATGCAGAGGTTGTCCTGGCCCGTCGCGTCTAGACATTGATCTTGTCCTTGGTACCTCCCAGTTATCATTGTCCGCCACAGGCGCTCCAGGCATCCTTCGCGTCCCAGGCATACCAGGCATCAAACCACCTGCACCAGGTCGTCCTCCAGGGTAGATAGGGCCAGGACTCACAGGCCCACTACTAGAAGAAGCCATGATGCCCTTTCTCATGTTTGCAGTGGCACCTGGTCGGAGACCAAGATTCTTCTCAGCATCTGAATGGATCTCTGTTATAGTCTTTGCTTTCATCTGCACAAGAACATTGGATTGAACATTAGAACCGCTAACTTTTAAAACAGATTCATGAGAATTTGAAGGCTAGATTACCTCTTCACGCCTTGGAACCCAGTCATTAGAGCGCAAATCGATGATATTCTGAACCATGAATCTCAGACGCAGTTCCAGCTGAGGATTCTTTGACAGATCCTGTAGGCGTCTGAAGTATGCATCATTGATACGTTTTGACTTCATGTTTCCGTCAAGCTGTTTCCCAATGGTTTTGAAGAAATGGCAGATAGCTTCAACATTCTCCTCTGCTGGACATGCTTTCTCATCAGCCCCCAGAAGCTCCTATGCTCATAACAAAATGATAAAAAGGTTAACACAGATACTACCAAAACAAACATGTCTTTAAACTGAGTAAAGTTATAGGAGTTTACCTGAACAATGTGATGAACAATCTTTTCCGGAACCATCTTCTGCTTTAGAAGCTCACCGATCAGACGAATGTTCCCTAGAGTCTTGAGCTTCAGCAACTTCTCTTTGTCGCTACGCTCAGCCTCCTGCTCTGGAGCACTCATCTGTCTAAGCTCCTCCCTCAGATTAGCAGCGCCTTCAAAAGCCTCTTGACAGATATTCAGGAGAACCCTCTTGAACGTGATCTCCTTACCCCCAGGCTCTTCAGGTGGGAAGGTGGGCAGCTTGTCGTTGATGTCAGAGCACAGTTCAGCATACATTGGGCAGAAAGTCGGCTCAAGGACGGCTTTGTCAAAGATAAGAGTTATCACACCCTAACAAAATTAAAGAGAATAAAACTCGTTAGATACGCGAAGAGCCTAGACTTCAGCTAATGCTTCGAGACATAGTACATACCTTGAGGATATCAGCAGATGTGATGCCAGAGTCAATAAGTTGTTCCTTGAGAAGATCATACTTCTCAGGGGTAAGCTTGTTCAGTATCCCTTTGACGGTCTTCAGGACACGGTCATTTTCAGAAAGGTTTCCTCTTCTAGCTGACCAAGGTACTTCAGCTTTGACGAGGACAGGAGCTGCTCCACCCTGCTTAAGAAAGTAACATATGTTAAAATGAAAAGGACATAGAAGAAGGGAATAAACACATTAATTTTTTTTTTTTTTGAAGAATTACCCCTTGGTTGGATGATACTTGTCCTCTAGGTTGGCCTTGACGATTATATTGGTTAGCTTCAACATACCTGGAATCTCTAGCATCACGGAGATTCTCCCATGATCTTTCCTCCCCAGGGGGTGGTGGTTGAGCAGCAGAGCGGCTGCGCCAATTGCGAGTGTCTGGCTCAGAGAACCGACTTGCAGATTGAACCGGAGCCTAGAGCATTAAAGATAACAGATCTGTGTTAGAACTCATGAAACTTTATATAACAATTTGAAAAAGTGATGTTTCAAACAAAAGCATACCACATTGCTTACGACACTTTCTCCACGTGCCCAAGTCTGTTCCTCGCCAAACAGTTCTATTTCAGTTTCCCGTTTGACTTTCAGAATTTCATCAGAGAGTTGAGCGATCTGTGGAATATAGAGAGACGTCAGTAAGTAACCTCAAATAAGCAAAAACAAAAAGCTCAAACTAGACCAGCCTTGATTCTACAGTTTTTCTTTAAAAAAAAAAAAGATAATCACCTCTTTAAGTTCCAGAAGCTGATCACGAGTGTACTTCACACGTTCACGGCCATCGAACCTCGAGTCTCCACCCTGAAACAACAAAGGATGAATCTTCAGTGACTGACGCTCAATAAACACAAAAAAAATACACCTCATATTAAACAACAAGAACCAACAATGCTAATTAAATAACTAAAAGAAGAAGATTGATGAATGAACTAAAAAAGTGCAAGAGATGTCAATAGGTCCTTTATGAGCAAATAGCAACTAACATAATTGCCCACCTAAAAAGCCTACATATCGTTTTACGTCCATATTTACAGCAGCTACACATACTTGTATGCGCCGCTAAGAATCAGGACAACACAAATAGTTATAATTATGTATCTTTCAGACACGTGATTCTATGTGGTCGGAAAGCATCCAATATCAAACATGAGCTCAGAAGTAATAACTAAATCATTACAACTCGAAAGTCAAAACACTTTCAGATAATTAAGCTAATTCATGTATTGTTGCAGACACGTGATTCTAAGTGGTCGGGGGGACTCATCCAATATCCAACACAAGCTCAACAACAAAGAAACTAAATCCGTAGATCCAGAATCTAGAGGGTATACCTGGAAAGGGAAAGAGGAAGGATGAGGAGGAGCGCCATGAGGACGAAGGAGAGGGAGATCGGAGGAGGAAAGAGATCCAAAAGAGAAGGACGAAGAAGAGGAAGAACCAAAGATTCTGTTTCCTCTACCGCCACCACCAGGTCTCAAGCTCAAAGACGATTGATCACCTTGCTGCATACCGAGATCTATAAACACCTTTTTTGAGAGAGAGATCCGATCCAATGAAACGACGACGAGCAGGACGAAGAAGAAGCTCCGATGAATCGCTGAATCCGAGATTCAGAGAGATTCAACGGAAAGAGATCGGCTTTTTGAGATTTTTCCTCTCTTTCTCTCCTGGCGTTAGCGAAGAAGAGATTGAGATGAGAAAGAAGAAGAAGAAGTCGAGAAGGAGACACAATCTCTTCTCTTTATTACCGTCTTTTTTCCTTTTTTTCTCTTACATGTATTGCCTTTTTTGTCTGTTAATTACCGTTATGTCCTTTGCTTTTGTTTATTTGTTCCGTTACGCACATTGGTTTTTCCGTCAATTATTATGTAAGGTGAAAGTCCTCAGGACAATGTGAAAAGGTTTATTGAGGAAAGGTGTGTACACCAACAAGAACACTACGATCTTCTTGAAGTGTCCAAGTGTGTTTTATGAATACCTGACAAAAATACCCTATTGTTTGCTACAGATCTAGCTAACGGTAAGTTGCATTAGAGAGCGATTGGAAACATGTGAAAGATGATATCACACACCCAACTACTAGTCTTTAATTACAACAACTGGTCTGTAACCACTAATGAGGCATTTGTTGACACACCATCAGAGATAATGAACACAACCTGCGTTTTGAATTATATATATACTCTTCTCCTGTTCATGCAAATCCGGTGAATCTTCATGAGATTGAGAAGTCGGCGGGCTGTGGAATGTCCACATCCTCAAACTCGTTATCATCTGCACAATCAAGAATAGGATACTCATCAGATATTCATCATGACATTCATAGCTTCAATGGAATGCAATACCACATCCTTAAACTTCTTGTGTGTAATCAATTTTAAGCTAAATACAAGACTGAAGTGATGGGATATAAATATGAATCATATTCAGCTACAAGGGTTTTTAGAGAGACTGCAACTCTCCATACAAATCAATAGTCTGAAAGGTTCACAAAACATATAAAAAAACTGTGGTTACTAGTTAACAAAAATGAATATTCAACTACGAGTAGTCAACTACGAGTAGTTCATGTTAACAAAACTGTGGTTGCTAAATTTTACCAGAGTACTATAAGGAACATAGAAAAAATGAGCGGTAACCTTTTCTCAAAGTCAGAGCCACAACTGCTTCGTTCTCAACCTGAACAATAAAACAAAGAATTAACAAACAAGTCACCAACCACAACTTACCACTCCATATGAGCAAGATAGATCTTCCTTAAACTTGAACAACAATTTTTATTCATTCCCTAACATTTGACATACATGATCACAACCTCATAGCTTAAATTTTTACACAATAGGAGGCAGTTTCCTTAAAATTGAACAATGGTTATTAAGTCTCCAACATTGGCACATATGAGACAATAGTCAAACGTTTGATACCTTCTGCTCATCTAGAGATTTTGAATCCTCTAGCACTTCTTCAGTAGACATTAAGACCAGACGCTGGTTACTAACCGGTTGTTCAATGAGGGTAAACAGTTTCTGCTTCACATCCAAAACAGTCTCTGTGGGGTCGCACTGGATAAAGTAAGTGGCTTTCATGCGCTTCACACGAATATACATTGCCTACAAAACATGATCAACACAAGACTAATCAATACTAACAATCACCATGGCCAGATCCAAATTCTCAGAAGAACAAAAAAAGAAGCTCTTAACTTTCCCAGTTAAATAAACAAAGAATGATCTAATAAAGATGACTACACAATGTGTTCAAAAAAAAAAAAAAGATGACTACACAAATAAACGAATCAAATGAAATCAACCAAGTAGAAAGATATATGTAATACCATGGAAAGAATCTGGCTTCTTTTAGTTCGATCTGTCAATGCAAAGCTCTCTTGCTCACCTCTCTGTTTAAGGTAAAGAACTATAGCTTGTTTGACTTTAGGTTACAGACTATTGTCGGTTACAAACCCGCCATAAGAACGAGAGTGTTTGTTATATCAAACTCTTTAAAAGTCCCACATCGGTAACGAAACAAACATGGGAGGCAGGAGAAGCAGTATAAAAGAAGCGACCACACAGCTTAACAAATCATACCTTTCTCGGCCTTTTGGCTAAGATCAAGTGTAGTATCTGTTCTTATCAGTTTAATATCTGATATGAGGTCCATCGGGCCTCACGATATTAACTCTATTTTTTGAGGGAAAAAGCCCATTAAGATAGCTTGCTATCTGGGCTTTCATGAGTCGCCCATGCGTTGCACTACTGCACGGGCCCGGCTCATCCCGCCATATATCCAGTTTAATTTTTGGTCCCTTAACTTATCAAATTATACTCCCTGAATTATCAAATTTGCAATTTTAGCCCATAAAAGTGTTTGGAATTTGAAATATGCTAATGGGCCTTTTTCAGACAGAACTGAACTACTTAAAAGCTTTACTTACACAGTTGTCTGTCCTAAAAGTACCTAAACCAAATTCGAATCAATTTTCGATCTCGTCTTCTCCTGCTTTCTGATCTCTGAGATGATGGTGGAGAGAACGATGAGTTTAGGGTTTGGAGCCAACGGAGAAACCTTAGGGTTTAGAGAAACAATGTGGGCGCAGCGAGAGCTTCTTCAGAAGATCACTCAAGAGCTCGACGATGAACGAGAAGCGTCGTCATCAGCTGCTTCCGAAGCCTTGGCGATGATTCTAAAGCTTCAGGGAGAGAAGGCAGCGTTGGAGATGGAGACTAGTCAGTACAAGAGGATGACTGAGGAGAAGATGTGCCATGCTGAGACTTCTCTGACGCTCTTCGAAGATCTGATTTACAATAAGGAGATGGAGATTGCGTCTCTCGAGTTTCAGGTTCAGGCTTATAGATGTAAACTGCTTAGCGTTGGTTGGTCTGATCTAGCTGCCGTGGAGAACAAGTTTCCGCAGAATCGTGTCTGGAAGATGAAGCGAAATCTATCGGTAAAAGCTTTTTATGTTTTCATGGTTTGAGACTTTAAGAGATTGAAAGATTATGAAGTCATCTCTGTCTGTTGCAGAATCCTTTTGATGGAATGAGTTGTGAGAGAAGGAGGTTGCTTCTGTCTGATAGTAATGGTGAAGAGTTGAGTGTTTATTGGGAAGAGATGAGGAGAATAGACGAACATGTTCGAGAGATTTCAGTGACTAGAGATGCTTCCAAGGAGTCTAAATGGCCTTTGCTTAGGCGCAAGTCTATGTCACATGCGTTGGTTTCTAAAGTCAGTAATACTATCCTTGAGTCAGCCAAGAGTGATGTCAGTTCTGTAATGGAGAGAATGATCAAGAACCCTAATAGATTCTTTGCTTCCAAAGATGCTTTGTCTCCAAGGACAAAGGAAAGCCTTACAATCATCGAAGAAGAAGAGGAACGCGAAGAAAGAAATGTAAGTATGAGTGAACTAGTTTTTGCTAAAAAAAAATTAGTTAAGTGGTAATAATCTGTAGGGAGAATCACAGGTTAAAGGGACGATGGTGAGTAGTAATTACGAAAGGAAATTGAGTAAGCAGCCGCCAAGCATCAAGGAAGAACATATGAGTTTGCTAAAGGAGATTCGAGAACAGCTTAATGGAATGCAGTTAGAAATGAGAAGCTTAAGATCAGAACTGCATCAAACTCGTCATGTGTCCTCTACTGAGGAGGATCCAGTCCTTAACTCAGTTCAAGAGGTAATCACTGCTCTTTCTACTTGGTAATTAAGTGATACCTGAAATGATATTCAAAACTTGTAAACATTTTTTGTTTGTTTTGTTTCTTGTACAGGCGATGATTCACTTCTGGCTTTAGAAGCTACAGTGTGTTGCTTGGTTCTAGTTTCCCATACAGACCATTTGTATGTTACTTAACCTTACCAATATAAACCGAAAATGTTAAAAAAAAAAAAAAAAAAAAAACTGATAGATTCCAGAGTATATCTCTGGCAGTGGCATTGTGAGAACACAATCATACATTGTAAGAACAAAATCTTAAACATGTCTCACCCTAAATGTAAGAGTCATTAGGGTAGAAGTAAAGGCTGTCAGGTTCGTTCAGTTTGAGTAGTTGATGCAGAAATTACAGGAAGGATAATCGAGATCAAGAGTGGTGGTGCCTCTCAAACACTTAAAGTGGTAGACATGACCACAAGTTAGCACGCACGACTCTTGTAAGCTGCGCAAGGAAGCATCATTAGAGTCGTTCAGGATCAGAGGCTAGATCTCTCTGCCACAAGTCACATGAGTGTCCAACTTCCTCAACATCAAACACCTTGTCAAGCTCTGCCCCAAAAATTCACACATAGAATAAAAGTATATACCAAGTACTGAATACCATCGCCAATCTGCGGTTAAGCATTGGCAGTCTTCATGAAAAGAAGTTGGATCTCTTTAGAGAGATTTTTAAGATGATCTCTTCATGAATAAAGTCATACGTCTCTCCGGTTCGACCGGTGATTTCGAGAACCGACTTATCCAATTCTGTTTGCACTCTATTGGGCTTTTTCATGAGCCCCATAATTTCATCAAACTATACTTTTATTTGTAACTAGATTTTATACTCGCGCGCGTAGCGCGAGTCTGTATTAATAATTTAGTTTAGTTTTAAAATAATTTAAAACAAAAAAATTAATTGGGTAACATAATTTTATTATTTAAAATATAATTTTTAATTTAGTATTTGTGTTTTCGTATAATTATGTTATCTTATTAGCTATTTAGTTATTTGTATTTGTAAATATAATAATTATGTTGTAAACATATTCATAATTTTTAGAAATATTAATTTATATTTTATAATAT